CTTATATATATATATATATATAATTATTTAATTCAAAAAGTTATCAATAGATGATAATGGCATGCAAAATGGAAGTGTTAAATTTATAAAATTATTTATAAAATATTATTTATGTAAAAGTTTGTTTATTATCTCAAATTAACTTTTTAAGTAATTATGTTACAAAAATGGTTACAAATATGTGGAACACACAATATTATATTAGCAGTCAGTACAGCCTGATTCAACAATTAATCACAGTTATAAAAAATTTTACGTGTAATACATGATATTAGTATTAAAGAAATATAACAGTTGAAAAGAAGAATAATTACCAGTTGGCCAACATACTTTACCAAACCAAGGGGAGAAGGTTACCACTTCTTTACAAATATTACTTGCAGAGACAGTTTTTTTCTTGGACTGTTTTCTTCTGAAGCTTAACTTACTTTGCCTTCATATTGAAAATCAAAGTCTAATTTTCTTAGGATGAGATTCCAACAATACCATCATCTTTTCCATACATGAACTTTTTTCACCATCCTTGTGTGGCACTTTCTCTCCTAGTTTCTTTATTTCCTTTTTGAACTCCTTTTGTCTATCTTTCCTCAGTCCAAACTCCCACTTTTTTCCTGCTTCTGCTTTTCTACAATCCTCCAACAAAAAATCTTCATTTTTTTTGTGTTGGAGCCAATGATTCATGTCACATATATTAGCTAGCTGATGGGTGTTGACCAGCCAAGACACAAAGGATGCATTGACCTGAAAAAAATAGCTAAGATACATAACAAAGACATATAGATAAATGAAAGGAAATACTATAAATTAAATGCCATTAAATATATATAATACTAATGAATTAGATTCAATGAGGTCAAAATAAAATTTATGTATAAATATTATTCATAATTTATATAAAATAAGAATTATTTGTTATTAAAATTTTTAACAAGAATATATTGTTTTATTTATAGGAGAAAAAATATGTGAATCTCAAGATAAGTCAAAGTGCCATCAAAAATATACTATATACCAAAATGAAATTTTAATAGAAATTTATGATGACATTCATGTTACAATTAATGGAAATAATTATACAGCAAGTCAATTAGTTTTATTCAATAAGCAGAATTTCAACATCACAGTTGAAATTTTTGGAAATCATGTCAGAATTAAATCTCAAAAATATAATTTTACTGTCATCAGAGATAAACAAGCAAATCTTCACATAGAGGTAAGAATCTTTTATTTAATTTGATAAAATTTTAAATAAAATGTTTTACTTATATTTATTCAATACAATTACTTATCAAATTCTGATTTAATATGATCATAAATTTTATTTACCTAATTTATAAACTTGTGATCATATAACATAGATATTCTTAATCTGATAAAAGTTTGATATAATGAAACTTACTCTAACATTTTGTATTTGCAATAATGTTTATAAACAAATTATTTTTTTATCATTTTATCAAAATGACATCAGAAAAATTTATTAGTTTCAAAATTTTCTTTATGCTTAAGTGGAAACTTTACTAATAAGAACCAGGGGATCTGGTCTACTATGTGAGAAGTTGTCAAATGACATTTGGTAACATTGCAGTTGACTCAACTCACTGTCATAAATTGAAATCAAACATCAACTATTTTGCAGGTCCACCCAATGACAGGGATAGTAATGACTTTATAAAGTTGCTGGTTCTAGCTAAATAACTTCCACATGCATTTAGCCAATAGGAAAATACGATACAAACTGAGAAAGAATACAACACACGCATGTGGAGTTGTTTAGTAACATGTGATGAAGCTAGTAATAGTGAGGTAGCTCAAACTAACAATTAATTTTTTGGATGAACATATTAAATTTTTCAGATATCATATTTTTATCTCATTTATGGTAAAAGATAAGTAAAAATTATGGAATCTCATTATTTTACTGAATGTTGATGGTATTGGCCTTCCTAAAACTGCAGATAATTAGGAAAATATATGTTTGTTTGTTTTAAATAATAATTAAATAATGAGAAGTTAATAAAACTATAACAGTTTCAACAATGGATTGGTTTATTATAGGAAAATTAGTACTGTACAATTTGTTGTATTAAGCCAACAGTCTATTATATTTAGTGTACACTTTAACTTTGTGTGTGTTGTAGATCAATAAAAATATAGCTCGTTGGAACATTATATTACTAGTTAAAATTAAACTGATGAATCTCCAATGTTTGTACGAGAGTGATTCAAAAAATAAGGTAACAAGAGCTCTCCTATACAAATTTTATTTCACAGGCAGATATGGTGATACAGATTATTATGACACTGGTACATATTATTTTTCAACATAGTCACCATGCTTGTCCAAACATTTATTCCAATGGTATACCAAGGCATCGATGCCAGCAGAGAAGAAATCTACATCAAGTCCCTCTTCAGTCATGCCATGACGGCTTGCTGAACTTCCATATCAGTTTGGAATCACCTACCACCCAGATGCTTCTTTAATGGTCTGAAGAGATGGAAATCACAGAGTGCCAGGTTGGGGCTATAGGGAGGATGTTCCAGTACCTCCCAGTTGAAGCACCATAACAATTCAGTTTGCTGAGTTTGCACACCTATCCTGCCTTTATTGAACTTAGTGCATCAAAACAACACTTGTTTTTGTGACATGACATTACAACCATACACCTCAACAAGTTGATGATGAATTCTGGTCACTTCCCAATCCATCCCAGATGATCTCTGGCCTTTTCCGTTCGATCTCACATTCCAACTGTCTCCCGTTGGACTTGAATTTTCCTCCTGCGTTGGACCCCTCATACTGTTTGTCTGACCCTTTACTGGGCTGCATCTCATTAGCTAAGACTGCATCTCCCATGTTACATTCCTTGGGATGCGCCTTTTGGTTGTCGTGAACCGCATCCCCATGTTCTGCCGCAACCCTCACTAATTAATATACAACATAGGATTTTAAATATTGAAATATTTAATAGTGAACTCAGAAAAAACTATGTAAATCATTAAAAAGCTCTTAATTTAAAAAGTTAAATTAAAATGTGTATTTATATCAAATGGAAATATAATTTATATCTATCATTGTCTACAATCAAATGATTTAATGTATGAAACTTTTTTATAGACATGGAATGTTTTCAAAGTTAATTTGAAAAAAGTTATTGATGGAAAAAAACTTGACTTGAAAGACTGGTAGTTAGATTAGGGAGTAGCCATGAGAATTGTTCTCATTATGTAGTGAGAAGGTAAGAAGAGTTGAATGCAATGTGTAATCATGTGACATCAGAAAGTTTCTTCTTATGCTGCAGATTAAGCTATAGTGAGTTCTATCGAGTTGACAACATACATATCCCATCAGACATTATGAGTTGAATCTCACAAGTAGATCTCATACAGTAGAATAGAGCCCCGGGATTTCTACTAGACTCATATTTTGTCATAAAATATTTAAGTCCATTGGATAAATTTGTATTGAAAAATCTATTATTTTAAACAGTAAAAATAATTACTGTTTAAATTTTATAGTTTATTAAATGAATATAACAGCTATCTTTTTATTTAATTCATTGATATTTTTACTTTTTCACAATAAATTTTCAACATATTCATTTTATTATGATTTCTCTAACTTCTCTACTAAATTTCAACTTTTTAACTAATAATAATTTGACTTTAGCTCATATTCAAGACATTTATTATGATTTAAATATTTTTGAGCTACATAAGGAATAACATTGGATATCAGAAGAATAATTGGATATAATAACTCTTTCAAGCAAAGTTTTAATTTAAACTAAAAGAAAAAATACATAATGTATATGTTAGGCTCAAAGACCTGAAAAAATTGATCATAGTGTGTTCTGACTTCTCAGATCCTGCCACAATGCAAATTTCACATCATGGCATTTTCAAAAATGTACACAACATGTTTTGGCATATTCAGTAAAATCAAAAAGTGAAATTTGTGTTGATATTCTTTTAATAATCAATTAAAATGCAATCTGGCAATGTAAAAATGCCACAACACACTGTGGGTGCTTATTAATGCAGCCATGATGCAATGTGATAAAAAAAATCTGTGTAAAAATTTTTTACTTATTTTTGTACAGATATTTTTATTAAATAATTTATGTATAATTTTCATTGGTCTGAAAGGCCTAGTTTTTAATTTTTTTAATGGTTTTGGTGTGTTTGTCTGTGCTTTTATTCCATACAATCAGGTTTTGAAGTAGTGAAGACCCCTATATGGTTTTGTTTTTGGTTCTGTGGGATATTATTATCTTTTCTAGTATGTGTGTGAATGTTCCTGTTGTTGTTGCCTTTCTTGTCGTCTGCCATTGTCTCTGTCATTACTGGCTTCTTTTGAAGTTATTTTGGTTTCTTTCAGAAAATTGAGGTCAAATGGTTTATCTCTCAAGCATTTTAGCTGCCAAAGTTAAATAATCAAAGAAGAGAACTCGCTGAAATTATTTTTACCATTCTGAAACAAACTGTGTACAGTACAAATTATTTTCTTTTTTTATCCATAACTCAAGTTCAAGCATATCATCAAGTTCAAACAATTCATGTCAACATGAATTGTTTGAACTTGATGATATGCACATGTGTTAAGGAGAGAGTAGGGTGATGGGCAAACAGCTCTCCCCATCTACTATCAGCATTTTCCTAACAGAAGACACCCTTGTCATACATTCAACGGTCAACTTTATTAATACCTTACTTACTTTATTAATACCTTCTTCCTCAGCACATTGGCAGAGGCAAGCACAATGTGAGGATGCCAAACTGAAAAAGAAAGTACAGTACCTGATGAAGTTATCAAAGACCCTTTAACTAGCTCATGTGCTATAGGACATAATATGAATAAGATTCATCCTTCAGTATGAAGAATGTTGTAGGAGCACAAGTTCTACTCAGAAAACGTAGGAACTGGGGCCTAAAGGTTGATGCTAAGAATCTAAGAATTTCTACACAATAGAATAAAGGTCTCAAGAATCATTAAATTATTATACTGAAAGATTATAGGTTTTTTGCAATTTCTATTTAATAGGAGCTGTACAGAACCCACAAGATAAGATGCAAGATGCCCCTCATCTTCATCATGCTTGCTTTTCAGATTTTTAGAGATAGTGATAGTTGGCTACATAACTAAAACTTTATAATTTTAATGCTCTTAATGTGTTTTAATATCTTTTTTCAACAGTCCTCTTTATGAAGTACTACCAACTCTTTAGTTTTGTTACTAGTAAGTTGTTCTTCCAAAGCCATGATTTAGATTATTAATGCAATAATTGATAAAGGTTGACTTGAACTATGTTTATTTGGTTGCACCAAACAGATTGCTATCTTTCATTTGATTCCGTCCCTTGATGATTCTTCTAAGTTTTTACAAGAAATTCTGTTTGCTGGATTGTGATCTTTTAATTTGGAGTTTACAAGTACTATAAGAGGATTCATTTGTTAGGGAGTAAATCTTTAGTACAAATCTGGTACTTGAATTTTAGGATGTGTTCTGTAGGTTAACATCTTTTGGGAGATGGTGTCTTGCTGTTGAGATTTAAGAGGCTTTTCAATTTCTTCATATGTCCCATCCTGAAATTTCTTCTAAATTTAATAACTAATCTAGCATCAATTAACTGTATTAATGAGTCATAGAAATTCTCGTATGATCATATGTTCAAAGGCATTAGAACATTCTTTATAGAAAATGACATAACAAGAATCTCTATGATTAATTTATCCACAATGTCTAAGCATAAAATTAAAATTCTCATTTTAAATAGAAAGTTTCTGCTGTCTTCTGATAGTTTAAAGCTGTGAGAAGACAGCAGAAACTTTCTTGGATAATGCATCTTGGATAAACTTCATTACATCTACATTCTATGATCCTTATGAAGGTTTTCTTCAGCAAAAAACAATTTTATTTGGTGACTCTAATTTTAATAAAAACAGTTTAAAATTAAAAAGTTTGTATAATTCATTATAAATATTAATTTTCCATAATTCTATACAAATTTATGAATTAAAATCTAACAGGGGCGGACTGGCCATGTGGAATTTTCCACATTTTCCACATGGCCAGTCCGCCCCTGAAATCTAATATTTAAAAATACTATTCAACTTGCTTTGTAGTAATATATCTTTATCTATATCTTGAAATTTAGACTCCTCCAGAGAATATGGAAAAGTTATTAGGCTTGTGTGGTTTTTATAATGGCATGATAAGTGATGATAAGAAAAAACCTGATGGAAAAATTACAGCAACAGCTAAAGAATTTGGTGACAGTTGGAAAAATACTAATTCTACAAAACATTGTGTTTCTACATTTTGCCCTATTGAAATTAAAGAAAAAGCATTAAAAATATGTAATAAATTAAGGTATCTTTATAAAACATTTTTATATTTACATCTTCTAAAACATATTTATACTCTCTTTTGAAATATAATTTACAATTAATTTTTAAAATTCTGCATTTTTTGTTTTGCTTAATTCATAAAATCAATACAATTAAGAGGGATAGATATATAGAGTCTGATTACAATAGTTTGTAGTTTTTAAGTAATTGAGTTTGAGCATTACTTTGTTAAAATAATATATTTATAGTTTCAATTTTTTAAAATATATATTGACTACATATTAATTTTTATTAGCTTTTGTAAAATATAAATGTAAAGATATGAAAATGTACAATTTACACAAATATTTTTGCTATAGGATATACACTAGTTTATAAGGATTTTGTACAAATTAACTATTTTTATAAACATCTGAAATTTCATTGATATTTTTTTGTAAAATGATTTAATATAATATATAAGATATTTAAATTTTTGATTTGAAATTAAATAGTTTTAATTATAATAACAATACTAATGTTAAATAAAATTAATTTATTATATATATAGCAATAAAATTGGATCTGTTTATAGAATTATTAGCATATTTATTTACAGAATTTTTAACTTATTATTTCATCATTTTTTGTATAATTTCTTTTTAATTTTGTGAAGAAAATTAGGTTCAATAAGTATCAAAATAAGTTTAATAAAAGTAATCTGAAATAATAAATTTTAGTTTATTTAAAATTTTTTTACATTTTAATAAAAACATAAATTTACTAAAATAATATATTGAACTATTTAAAATAATTTATTTAATTTTTAGAGAAAGTCCATTTGATCAATGTTCTGATGTTTTGAATGTTGAAATGTATTTTAAAGCCTGCATCACTTCTATGTGTGATTGCTTGAGACAAAATAAAAATTCATCATCTGAATGTGAATGCAATAGTTTCCTTCCATTATTAGAAGCATGTGAAAATAAATTAAAACATCCATTATTAAATTGGAGAATGAAGTATGGTTGTGGTGAGTAGTCTTAAATTTTTTTCATCTCTAAATTTTAAATTAAATGAATACTCTTCATAAAATATATGTAAAATATTTCAGTAAACACTAGCTATTAATTTTCATGATAATAAACTGATATAAAATTAAAAAATCGCCAAATAAATAAACCTTAGATTTTTATTTGATTTTATGAAATTGTTTTTAGCCACTACATTAGACATAGAATAACAATACATGAATAAAAAAGATGGCCAGATGACCAAGGCAGTTAAAGTGTCAGCCTATCACTCTGGGAAACTCAGGATCAAATTCAAACAGTCTAAAACTCCAAAAATTTTTTGAAAGTGTTCTGTCCCAGATATGTTAGGCTCATTCCTTATTACCTGACCATCTCCATTATGAATCTGCCTGAATCAAAGATAGGCTGATTTAAGGGCTCTCTTAGTTCCCACAGGGCAGAAAGAACCAAAAATGAAAAAAATAACAACAACAATGTATTAAATTTTAAACATTTATTAGATAAAATATATAACCAAAACAACAAAATATGATAGTTCAAAATACAAATAAAGAATAAAAATATTTTTTTGAAAGAAAATGTGTTTTAATTCCAATAATAATAAATTCTTTTCGGAGAAGTCTGAAAATGATATTAACTAATGATTTCAATTGATATACAATGTTTTATTATGTGAGTAATAAATATTAGTATAATTGAATAGAAAGTTGAGTTTCTGGGGTTCTATATATTAGTTATTTTTATTGGAACAAGTTAGGCAAGCATGTGTACGCAAACTACAACTTTTATTTTTAGTTCTATAATAAGACTCATCGTAACGTATATGTGAGGACCCAATGATGTCTTATCACTAACATGATATTTGTTTAGATCATAGTTGACACTCCCCTATTTAAGGAGTGCCAGTCAGGATGGTAAGATGTGAACTGTGTATATGGTTGGTAGCATTAGACACCGAGGCAAGAACTCCATTTACAATTAACACCCATTTATTAGAATATAAAAGATAAAGTTTAGGAGCTTTTATGAGAATTTGGACTCCCGTGCAAATTTTCACATCTGTAAATTTTTATTTTTATCATTATTTCTCTTTTTTCCCCCTCACTCAAGTAAAGGCTAGACCTTTTGACCTATAAGTGTACTGCATCACTTTGAAAGGTGGCCTTAGAAATGTCTTAGAAGTTCTCCCCTCACAGCAGGAGCTTATTCAGTTCCAATTTTGATACAACATACAAATAAGTAGCCAATTAGCAAGAACTTTCACCGGTTACATGATAGAGGGGAGCAAAAAAGGGTCAAATACAAGGATAGACCGTATATTATTAGTATCCTTTTTGTATAGCGTTTACTAATTAAATTTATATTATATCTTAAACGTGTGTTTACTCGTACTCGGCCAACACCTTATCGACTTATCCGCGACCTNATAAAATCGAATTGAATTGAATTGAATTGAAATTAAAGAAAATAGTAAATAAATAAAGACAGACAAACGACAGTAGGGAATTTATAAGTCTACGAGTTTTTTAAATTACAGCCCAAATTGCTGACGGGTCGACTCTGATTCGAACTCGCTGCATTGATTAAAATTAAGAATTAGAGCTACTGTAACACCGAAAATGTCCGCATTACTAAGTTCATATTACTTATAACTGTTTTCCAAACATACAAATTTTCGCTCTAGACAGGTTTCTATTTTGTATGGGACTGTTTAAGAGAGATTTTTTTTGTTTTGTATGGGGCCGATATAGGTGGGTTTCTTCTTTGTAAAGAACTGTTCTAGAGGAGTTTCTGTTTACAAGGCCGATTAAGACAGGTTTCTGTTTTGTACAGCACTGTTTTAGGCAGGTTTCTGTTTATAGGACCGAATATTATATAGAATATTTTCTAATAAATAATATAAAAGTATATTTTAAAAAGTTTAAAAAATAAAAATGTTTACATCCACCATATTTAAGTATTGGGTATACGTTTCTATATATAAGCACCAAATAAACGTATTTTCTTTTAATTTTTTAAGGAAAAGTGTGTCGAATTCTTTAAAATATATAATTTAAAGAGATTTAACTTCAATTTTTCGTCATTAAAATAAAGAAAAATATTGAGAAAGATCTACAAATGTCCATTAAATCGAAACGTTTAGTGGAGGAATGGCAGAAGAAACGAGAGAAAAGGGGGTGAAGCGTTTTAAAGGGGGAAGGAGGCATTGATTCGATGATTGGAAGCGAATCAGCAGAAGTTATTACAAATATTACAAATTGTCCAACTGATTTTTAGAAAAGTTCTTTGATGACGATGTTGACAAAATAAAATAATGTTCTCATTTTTGTTCTTTTTTATTATTATTATTAAGGTCTGGATTTTTGGGTACCACACCCATTTGATTTTTGAAAGGGGCAGAGTGTAAAAAGACAAACTACATCAGTTTTAGTGCAATAGGCCCACTCATTGCCAAATTGTTTAGCACCCAAATGCATCCAAAATGCAAACCAGCCCCCAAAATGGTGACTAGCAACAAACTACATATTTTGCACCCATCTTTCCACTTTTTTACATTTTAAAAGAATATGTTGACAATTATTATTATTATTTTTTTTTTGTGGTTTTATTCATTCACTTGAGAGGAAAAACACAAATTTATTAAACCAGACCACATATGCAGAGAAAAAAATATGATAATTAGCTTACTCTCTTCTTTTGTTGAGAGAAAAGGGAGTAAAGGGGAATTTTCTGGACTAAACAATTAAGCCTTAGGGTTGTTCTAAGAATGTAAACAGATTCACTGAAAATCTGCAACCTGTGTTTTCTTTTCTAAGAAAAGAATAATCTACAAAATTCTGGGCCATGTTCAGTAATGCAGAATTCTTGCTAAGTCTAGTTATGTTGCGATGTTAAACTCATTTCTACCTAGTCCTTGACTCCTCCCACCACTAAAATTCTAGCTAGTTTAATCAGCTTTTTTTATTTATGCTAACTTCTACTAGTGACATCATTATTTTTGTCTCTTCATACGATTTGCAAGATGGCTGCTCGTGTTGGACTTAACATATTTTATTATAACAATTGCAAAGTTATTCTCTCATTCTAAATCATTAACTCATTCTAAAATGACTTTGAAATGTAAAATTATCATATGTCAGTAATAGATTGCGAATACATTTTTAACGGCAGATAACGGTCTATTTCATTGATTACAATTAATAATTGCTTTATTAATTTGTTTGTGACAATTGTTGCAATCATAATTTTAACTTTGTCCACCATTTTGCCCAGTTGTTTAACAGAATAATCATTCAATGATGCTCAGAACATTTTTATCTCTCCCCACTAAGCCACTCGGAATTCTAACTTAGGTGTTTTGCATTACTGAACATGGCCCTGTATTGAGGTCACCTTACCAGGGTAAGGTGACCTGAATTGACTTGTGAGCACAACAGTTCCATTTTCCTTTGTTCAGTGTCAGCGACATTAGAAAATGGCAAAATTGTCCACATCTAAACTGAACATTTTAGCAAATAAGTTTAAAGATGAAGGCGTTTGCACAGTTAGAAAAGTTAATTGCTGTTCCATTTGTGATTATGTGGTTTTGGTTGATGTGAAACACCGTGAAACGAAAATCAGGTGACACACGAGTTCAGAAAAGCATAGAGAAGGCAAACAAAAAAGATGGAATTTCGAGCAGACATTTATATTTGAAAGAGGAGAATAATTTCAGAATGCTAATAATATGTTTTATGCAGATTTAATGACCACTCTTCTGCAGGTAAATATACCCTTATATAAGGTAAACAATCCAGTCTTTAAGTCATTTTTTCATAAATATACAGGAAAGCTTGTCCCCAATGAGAAAAAAACTACGTTAAACCTGTTTGTGATCAAACATTATCTAAAATATTGGACGTTGTCAGAGACAATCCTGTAGTGTTTATACTGACTAAACAATGGATTCCTCAAAACAGTATGTGCTGAACATTCTTGTTGTGCCACTGACCGCTATGTACAACCAATGTTGTTCAAAATGTACCAACTTGAAAATACGAACTCAACTACAGTGTCCCAAACTTTCAATGATGTTTGTGTCAAGTTGTGGCCAAATGGTGTCTAGTACAAAAAGGTTTGGCTTGTTACAGATCAAGTATCTTACATGTTGTTAGCATTCTCAAATTTGAAGTGCATCTACAACAACCTAAAGCATGTGATTTGTCTTGCCCATGCCCTACACCAAGTATGTTAATGTATTTGTGTAGAATATGGCAAGCCAACAACTTCATTTTAAAAATGAAAATGGTTCTTCTCAAGTGCCCTAGTCGAGAGCACTTGTACCGTGACATAACTGGACTGCCATTACCACCCAGTCCAGTAGTCACCCATTAGGGGTCTTAGATAAACAGTGTAGTATTCTACTGCAAGAACTCAAGAAAATTAATGTATTTATCAACAAACTTCCTCCTGGCAATTCTGTGGCTGTTAACAGTGTCAAGAAACTGGTTGCTGATCCAGTAGTGACCATAGAGCATACTCTGTGCATTTGTACAAGTTATTGGTGGATAAAATCAATGAACTGGAAAGACATGGAACTGAAATGTGGGATCAAAATTGAACTTTTTTTAACCCATCTAAAAATTCTCTAATTAGTCTGGAAACAGTGGGACCTAATTCTTGCATTCTTTGAAAATGGGTAAGATTGACTATAACGTAATAATCTTAATCTTCACTATTGTTACTTTTTGCCCAAGCACATTGGGTCTATCTGCTAGTTAAAATATAAAATAAACAATTTTTTTACTTCTAAACATTTTATATATTATCTAGTTGAATAATGATTTATTTCAATTAGGTACAGGTTGCAAGCCAGGATTTGTATGGGAAGATTGTGGACCAGCTTGTCAACCCACCTGTGACAATTATAAAGAAAAGTCTTGTTCAGAAATGTGTGTGCCTGGTTGCTTTTGTCCATCTGGAACTGTATTAGATGGAGAGACATGTAAATTACCAGAAAACTGTTTAAATGGCAAGTAATGTTTTTAAATTTAGTTTTTGGCTAATTATTTAAAGAAATATGGAGAAATTTATTTGAGATGAAGTTATGTGTTAAATTTAGAAGAACATATATTTACATTATAAATTTGGATTATTAAATATTTTTATTTAATTATTATTTTTTCAAGAAATGCTGTTGTATTATATGAAAAAGTAATAATTAAAAGCAACTTTATTAATATGCTGTGCAGATTAAATAACTGTGTTATAAAATAAATGAGACTTATTTACCTGATATATTGTATCTGAAGAATTAGGTTATTTTGTTCACATTAATTATTTGACACATTGATCATCTTATGATGACTTAACATGCAAAATAAATGTACAAACCAGATGAATTTTATATATTATATTACTTTAAAATCATCTTTCTGTAAATATTTAAAAATAAACTACATGCAACATGTGATCACAAACAAACACATTTTGATAGGAATTTTGGAAGGTAAATTTATATTAATCCATTATTAGTAACATGAAATATCATATTCCAAATGAATCTGAAAATAATTGAAAATATTTTTAAAGAATTCAATATCTTCCTTACTTTTTTTGACTTTTTGAATTTAAAAGTTTTCTTTATAAAGTTGTAAAATTTCAACAATTTAAAATTTATTTAGAAAGAAGCTTTAGATTTATTTTTATTTTTTTATTAACTTTTCTAAACAAAACCAAAACTAATTAAAAATAAGATAATGTTTAAATTTGACTGATTATAAAAAATCAAAAGAAATAAGCCTTCAAACCAGCAAAACTTATTTGAAAATGAACTGGGTTTCTATTTTTATATTGATAATTTCTCTTTTATTTCTCCTATTCCTTAGCAGTGAATGTTTTTTCTATGATAATTTTATAGTAGGCTAATTTTTATTACATAATAAAATTTAAACAATAATTTTATTTTGTCTGTTTAGATTAGTTTTGAGATAATTTTAGTTGAAAATACCCTAAAATTACAGTCGATTCCCCTATAACACTGTTGATAATTCCATTTTATAAGAATTCCATGTTGTACAAGTCACTTAGATTTTACAAATATGTGTGTCGTTCACAGCCCGGCACACATATTTGTAAAATCTAAGTAACTCGTACAGCATGAAATTCATATAAAACGGAATAATCAACAGTGTTATAGGGCGGTTGACTGTATACAATTTTATTTATTGATGTATCATTAGTTACAAGGTAAATCAAAAATCAGCATTAATGCGTTATTATAATTGAATAATAAAGGATGAAAATCTTATTCTTATGTAGATCTGCATCTTGAAGCCATTTATNTTGACTGATTTTAAAAAATCAAAAGAAATAAGCCTTCAAACCAGCAAAACTTATTTGAAAATGAACTGGGTTTCTATTTTTATATTGATAATTTCTCTTTTATTTCTCCTATTCCTTAGCAGTGAATGTTTTTTCTATGATAATTTTATAGTAGGCTAATTTTTATTACATAATAAAATTTAAACAATAATTTTATTTTGTCGGTTTAGATTAGTTTTGAGATAATTTTAGTTGAAAATACCTTAAAATTACAGTCGATTCCCCTATAACACTGTTGATAATTCCATTTTATAAGAATTCCATGTTGTACAAGTCACTTAGATTTTACAAATACGTGTGTCGTTCACAGCCCGGCACACATATTTGTAAAATCTAAGTAACTCGTACAGCATGAAATTCATATAAAACAGAATTATCAACAGTGTTATAGGGCGGTTGACTGTATACAATTTTATTTATTGATGTATCATTAGTTACAAGGTAAATCAAAAATCAGCATTAATGCGTTATTATAATTGAATAATAAAGGATGAAAATCTTATTCTTATGTAGATCTGCATCTTGAAGCCATTTATATAGCATTACAACATGTTAAATATTATTGTCTTATTTTCAATGAATTTTGCATTATGAAAATACCTGAAAGTTGAACTGACTGGCCTTAATAGTCTTTAGACTGGAATTTTTAACTTTTTTTTTATGGAGATATCTCAAGGTTAAAATGTATCAGTCCAATCCAATGACTTCAGAGAATTTTACTTTAACTTTTAATTTAGTCTAGATCTCAGGAACTAGTGATCAAAACAGTGTAAAACGTAACACAAAAACAGAACAATGTATTCTTTATGAAGAAAAACAGTTGAAAACAAAAACTTTGTCTAAGTTATATCAAATCAAAAGCAACATGAAAACTAACAAGTATTGTTGTAATTCTTTTTGCACAGAAAATTATTAACAAGGTGTGTGGCTGCCTCCTGCATGCGAACACATTGCATAGCAATTTTTCATGTATGTTATAATGTTGTTTATTAATTCTGTCAAGCAAAACTCACTTTGAACAGGAGTATCTTGAAGCTTCTGGAGTGTTTTTGGTGGAGGTTGTCAGGATGCAACTCTTCTCCCTAAAGCATCCCACACGTTCTGTTGTCTGGAGAAGTTTCTGGCCATTCTACGCAACAAATATCTTGATCTTTACTGTCAAGAAAGTCATTGACCTTTTGGCAGTAATAGCATCTTTTGCAAAAATGTAGCCCTTCAATGCAGACATGCATAATGATGTCCAAGACCATAATACTGCCACTTCCAAACTGTTTTCTTTCCGTGATGTCCACAGAGCTATATCAGATTTCCTATTTTCTCCAGATTCTAATCTTGACATCATCTTAAATGGACTCTACAGTGTACAGGGATCAATGAAATGCAATCTAATGGGCATCTGCCAAAAAGACCATTCACCTGAATCTTCTTATACAGAGCTGTCAAGAAACTCAAAAATTAGTAATCATAGACAGCTCTACAAAGAACTGCCTAATAGACATTCTGATAAAATGAACTGTTAACATCAAACAGTCCTATTGAGGGGATAGTAATGCTTGGACATCTATTTTCTGGTTAACATTCAACATCTCTTGTTCTTTTCAATTTGGTCCAAAGCCTGGATATGACATTTACTCTGTTGCATATTTAGAGTTCTGGACATAGCTGTCTTCAGTTGATCTGCTTTTAGTTATTCATAATTCTTCTTTCATAAAATCACCTTTTTGGCATTTTTACTGTCAGCATCAAACATTAGTGAAACAGAAACAATGCCATGCTACTGCTTTTACAAATTTGCATTAATGTGTGCTTTTTTAATGGAACATTTGACTACTACTTGAGTGTTTTTATTGCCTGGAAACAGTCCTAAAAATTTTCCACTGTTTATTTTGATAATGGTTTGCTCTATCTATGGATTGGGCAATTATGATTATTTTTTGGACAAGAGTGTAGAATTGATGTAGTTGCTGATTTGAATGATATTTGTATAACTAGTTTTTTACTTTTAAAAAAATTACATTTGGTAAGTATTCCTGCAATTCTATATTACATGTTATACATGTAATTCTATATTACATGTATAACATGTAATATAGAATTACAGGAATACTTACCAAATAACCAACCTTAAAAACTTACCAAAAAACAATTTTATATGATGGTTACTTCAGTCTTACACAGATCATTATTAGGTTCACATAGTAACAAAAAAATATCTTATTTTAGAGAAACAAAATAAATATATACAGTGGAACCTTGCTTAATGAGCATAATTTGTTTCAGAATCTTACTCATAATGCAAAACTCATTAAGTGAAACAATTTTTCCCATATAAATTAATGTAAAATACAATAATGCATTTCATGCCAAAAAAAAAATACTCAAATATTTTATGTGTAATGTTTATTTAAAGAAAATTATACAATATACATTGTTAAGGAACATGAATCATCATCATCTTTTTTTCTAGTATGGAATGAACCAACTTGGAATACTGATTCAATTTGCAGGGGAAAAAAATTCAAAATTTAATTTGGAATTGGTCATTAAATTTAATATGAGATGGCAGCATAACTGTCTATCTCTAGTCAAATTATTTAATTTTTAATATTTAATTATAGCCTTTACATAGTGCAATAATTTGGCATATTGTTTGGAGTATATATTGTATAATGGATTATGGTTGTTGATGTTATGTGTAATATGTGTGAATACAAGTTTGGAAAAATGTGTGATCACAAGCAACACTAAGATGCAAGTGGAACAAATGCTAAACAGACTGATATAGCATGCACACAATCTGGGACTTCCTTCTCCTCATCATTTGTTATGTGAAATGTTGCTCGTTAAGTGAGTCATTTTTTTTACAATTTGTTTTGCTTGTTATGCAAATTACTTGTTATAAGAAGTGCTCATTAAGCAAGGTTCCACTGTACTTGAAATAAAGTACTCATCATATAAACTGTATCCTGGATTTTAATATTGGTTATTTAATATAATTCATTAAATAATCAATCTTATATAATTTATTCCAGCTAGTTAATAAATTGGATTTTATACTTTATAACAATAAGATATTTTTCTGTTTATTCCAGCTCAATGCAAAGGATTTGGTGATCCTCATTTTGTAACATTTGATGACTGGTATTATCCATTCCAAGTTGTAGGACGATTTGTCTTGGCCACAGATAAAACAAAAAGTTTTGCAATTGTAGGAGAAATTGATGAATGCTATTTTAACAGCAATATTAGTTGTATGATTGGAATGAATATTTCCTATAATAATAACATGGTTAAAATTAAAAAAGGAAAAGAAGTAAGTAAATACAATATAATTTATAGATAAACTTATTAAATTATTTTTTCATAAAAAACTACTAATTTCATTAAAGAGGTTATACAAACATAATATGTAGAAATAGGTTAATCTTTACTTACATGCACAGTCATGGCTGCACTTCTGGAATCTCGACAGCAAGCATCTTTTGAATTTTCAATGTAGGTGGCACTGTTAGCCAAAGAATTATGTAAATAAGATTTATTTAATTATAAATTATAAATCTATATTTTAAAAGTTATATTACTACTTTATTTAATAAATTGATCATTAGGGAAGGTTAGGTTTAAGTTAGATTAGGAGTTTGCCACAGGCAAATAGGGCCATGCAGTAGCAGTGTACAGACACTTGCATCAGCTTGTACCCATGACTAAGGAAAAAAGATAGGCCAAAGGCCTCGACAGTTTACTTATCAATGTGAGAGATCCTGTTTGAACCATTGATTAGTTGAGGCCTTCAGCCTCTTTTTTTCCTTAGTTATGGGTACAAGTTGGTGTGAGTACACTGCTGCTGCGTGGCCCTCTTTGCCTGCAGCAAACTCCTAACCTAACCTAAACCTATCCTTCCCTAATGATCAATTTATTAAATAAAATAATAATATAATTTATAATTAATAATTAATTTATAATTAAATAAATCTTATTTACATAATTCTTTGGCTAACAGCGCTGCCTACATTGAAATTCAAAAGATGCTTGCTGTTGAGATTCCGGAAGTGCAGCCATGATGTTGCACATAGGTAAAGATTAACCTAGAAATATTTATTATATTAATAAGAAAGCAGTTGATAATTCTCTAAACTAATAGTAAAAATTACTTCAAAAAGTATTTGATTCTTATAATGAAAGATTCATAAATACTTAACATTAATCACTTTTGAGAAAGAATTCTCTCATCTTTAAAATAGTTGATCTCTTTTCAAAAGCTTCAGCTTAAATTATCAGTAAAGGGAATTCAGTTTTTTTTGTGAAACAATCCAATAAGAAACACAAACTAATTGTATATGTTTCTTTGAATAGTTTGTTTCTTATCTTATCTGATCATTTTACACCCAAGAAACTGAATTCTCTTTACTGATAACTCTAGTTTGATGTACACTATTTTATAAATTGAATACACAATGGCTTTAGCTAAAAATTTTTAGAACACAGTTTTAAAGTCTTGTTATTGATATTCTCTCATGAATGAAACAGGGCTGTATTATTCTTGTCACTTATCTCTTGTCTCTTCTTTCAAGGGTGAATGATGTCAAAATGAGAGACAAAATTCATCTCTCAGAGAAAGTGGCAATTCTTGTCACTTTTAACAATCTTGTCTTCATTGATGAAATCACGATTAACCAATGAAGTTGTAAAAATTTTGAAAATATAGAGTATGTAATTATAGATCACGTAGCAAGGAAAGCATGCATTCAAGTAAAGCATGTAATTTTGACGACGTTGTTTTTGTTTTATAACATTTTTACGGATTGTAATGTCAATTTTTCTGTTAACAAATAAAAATTTTAATAACCTAAGTTAGAAAAGTGTGCATAATTAGATATTTTTTGAAGTATTATCATCTAATTTCTCCTTAACTATCTAAGTAAGATTTACATCATATTCAATAGTTCAGTAATTGATGTAGGATAATTAAAAAAATGGAATCAGTGACATTTTCGAGTAGGCACTGGAAAAAAAATTAGAAGCATTTTCTCTCTCAAAATATTTTTTCCCAAGATAGAGAACATTCTCTAATATGATTGTACAGCACAAGTAGCATTCAGTCATCTATATTGGATATAACAAAATCGAGGCAAAAGACAAAAGATGGTCAAAAGATAACTATCCGCTTGGCTCTGAGAAAGAAGAGAATCTTTGAGAGAAAAAGTTGCCCAGAATTGCACTAGGAGAGACATGATGATCTCTCAAGACATAAACAAATTATTAACCAATCAGCAACTGGCAATCAGAAATGAGAGACAATGACCAGAATACAGCCCCAGATTTATGAGAATCTCATTAGATATGACAACATTTATCTGATATCACAAAGTTATTAGAAACTTTTGATTATCTTACATCTAATATTTATAACATATCATAATATCCAAAACAAAGAACTCGATAATGAGAATATGTCAGGTTATATCAGTAGTGTCTGTTCTGACTTAGTACTATCAATCAAAAAATGTTTCATGATGTCATATTATTAGTTTTGTTTTCAAAATTTTCTTTTCTGATAAATCTGAAACATTTGAAAGAAAGATGACTAAATTTTACTTACTTTGAATTCAAATGCCTCATAGATGGCATGGAAAACAGAATATTATAAAAAGTAAACTGTCACTAAAGGTATGAAATTTGTGCTAAAATTGCTGTTTGTCATATTAATAATACCAAAGTTCACTTAGGAATAATGATTGATTTGACTGTCTAATAATAAAGCAATCAATCAGCCACCATCTTTTTCCAGTTTATCAACATATGAGAGCTTGTTGATATATTAAAGTATTTATGAGACTTATTACAATATTGTAACTTATGATGAACTTTGTGATATAATTTCTTGTATCTTGTATAAGGAATTTTGTTGTAACTTATCAGATAATTGTGATATGAAGGTAGTCTTTGATTTCAATATTCAAAAAATATACTAATAAGTTTTAATATTTTATTATTTTGAAGAAGTGGGTGAAAAAAATAAAAAACCAATGAAAACTAAACATTCTGATATTAAAAATGAATTAGTAGTATATAAGAATCAAAAGCCATAAATCAAGATTTCTGCTTATTTTTCAGATTAATTATATTTTTTTCCTGGAGGTTTCTACAGTTATTTTTTAATCTTTAAATCTTTCATTATAATTGTTGGATACTTGAGTCTTTTTACTTTCATTACAATAACATTGTCATACATTTTATCTAAAGATGTATTCAAATATTTTAGAATATTTTTTCTAAACTATCATTAACAAATTTTTCTTTGCATAGATATTAAATATGTTATGAATACAAGATATAAGATAATCGTAAGTTTCTAATAGCTATGATATTGAAGAAATGCTATGTTATTAAGATGATATGTTTATAAACATGTTTTTAACTTTGGATCCATGCTTGGAATATTTATTCAGGACTATATTTAGACATTTATTATTAAGGAGGCATGGGAATATAGAGACTGGTTTTGCCAACTTATTCCTGCTGCTAATACCCATAGTTTATACTGTAAGATATGCATGTGGTGAGTGTAATCCAACAAGAGGATAAGCATANTAAATTTGTTTTTTTTCTAAAATAAAATTTTTAATAACAATAACCTTCCTTATGCTATAAAATAAAAAGTGAGAATTTATGACATATGAATAAAGAAAACAACACAGTCATAGCCAATAGAAATTCCACTTTTGAACAAGAATAACTTAATCTAAATTTACTTCTAAGATGTAAACCTAGAGCTTATGCTAATTATGGCTCAAAACAAAAAACTAGACTAGTTGTTATAATTTTGAAAATTAAGAAGGAAGCAAGAAAAAGAATGATTGGCAGCACTTTCATCTTTTTCTTTCTGTCCTCCAATCCCAAAGGGATATTTTTGAGATTCCTTCTTCTTTCTCTTGTCCAAAAAAAAATTCAAATAAAAAATTCAACCCTGTATATAATATAAAAATTCAGTCATTATCCCTGTGATCCAAGGAGATAGTTTTTATTTACTTTGTTAACCCATTGAGAAAATTTATATACATTTAGTAACTTTGTTGCTTTTTGTGTGCAATCTTTATAACAGTGAGTTTCCTCCACATAATGGATATGTGCAGGAGATTTAGGAATATGTTTGTTAGAAAGATGCCCAAATTTACCATAATTTCAACATTGTATAATATCTATATGATCTGTAACTACACAAGATTGAAGACCCACAAAAATACATTTTAATTTAAACATTTGGTATTTTATGACTGGACTGATTCTCATGATCTAATTTTCAATATACTTTGTTTGTATCTGAAAGAAAACAGAAGGTCAAATTTACCACCATTATTAACACTTTATTGGATAAAGGCATTTTAAGCCAAAATATAATCCACTATATCAGTCTGAAAATGATTTATTAATATTTGCAAAGCAGACTAATGGTAATCATTTCTATGGTTCATAAACACTATATTGTAGATTAGAGGTATTGTTGGAAACAATTTCCCTTACTCTCTACAATTTCCCTGTTTGGAACTTTTAGTTTGATATTCCCATTACTCATAATAAAGCCATTATTCATAATATCCAGAGACACCACATTATCACCGCTACAAAAAGTATCTATGAGCTTCATTTTTAATTTCTCCTTTGTCTGTTTTTTTACCATTTTCATTATTTAGTTTTAAAATTATTCTTTGACTCATTTTGCTACTCTTTATTAATTGTCTACTTTTGATCCCTTCAGTCTTACTAAAACAATCTGTAAAACTTTTCAATCTTAGATGTGAGTTCACTATTTCTTTTTGTAATTATATAACTTTATTCTATAATGCTTCATGCTTTTCTAAGAGATAGAGATATTCATCTCCAAGTTTTGTCAGAATTACATTTACCCTGAAATTTTTCAGTTTGTTTATTGGTCTCTTATTTACAAGCAGGCCTAGGAGATCACAAAGTTTTACTATGACATTCACAAAGGGGCATTTTGATAATTCCTTAATAAAAGTCACTTCTTCCTGGGAAGAAACCTAAAGTGGTGGCTGTCCAAGAAAAGATATTTCATTAGACATAATATAGAAAAGATAGAAAAGACATAATATTATGAAAAATGTCCACTTACTTATAAACAATACACCATTTACAGTATACTATTCCTGGAGTTAATCAAAAGTAAACCTCATCTTGTAAATAAATTGAAAATGGGATAATGAAAAGAAAATCGTGAGCCAATTTCACTCCAATCTATCTGCTATACACCATCTAGCAGTCTCCATTGAAAGTACTTGTAATTATACCATTATAATTTAAAATTTTTATTGTTTATGTCTATTTCATCAGTTTTAACATTCAAAAAGCATTTAAATGCTTATATTAAAATTATTTAAATTAAAAATTACTAATAGATANACTTGGACGGAATTGTGAAGTATAATCTCACGACAAAAAAAAATATTCACTGCAGTACAAAAAATAAACTATGATTAAATACTTACAGCTATTTATACTAAAAGAAAGGCAGAAGATAGACAATAGGATAGCTGGATTTATGATAGGGGTTGCCAAAGTGGTCTACCCCCACTAATATTGACCCCCAATAATGTTATATCGACCCCCAGGGGTCGATGAAAAGACTAAGGCTTACAAATTTTGGATTGAATATTGCTAATCTTGCTAAGGATTATCAAGCTTCTCCATCTCATTGATTGTCAGTTACAAAAATTATTATTAACATATCTATACTAATATCATAAAAAAGTAAAGTTTGTAAGTTTGGATGTAGGATGTAATAATCTTTGAAACTACTCATTCGATTTCAAAAATTCTTTCACCAATATTTAGAATGGAATATCAGGGTGGACATAGGCTGTATATTATTCCGTTAAACATTCATATAAATTAAAAGATATCATCTAGGATTAAGGCTTTTATGTCCAACAGATGGGGCTAACTCTGCAAGTACAATGACCTAAGTTTACTTTTCTGTGAGGATGAACTAAAAACGAACCCAGATCATCTGCTATCTATCTATATAAGTAAAAATGTAATGTTCATTTGTTCCTACCGATTCCTTTGAAATTTTGACACAACATTGCATTTGAATATGCATGTGTTTTTATATAATATAATGTCGAAATTCCCCCCACTGGGGGAGATGAAGAGGATTAAGGCTTACTGTGAAGAACTCTGCTTCTATTTATACTATTTTAGATGTGGTTTTTTGCGTTATTGATTGCATTTTAATAGGGTACATCAACAGAATATACACTAAAAAGGGATTTTTCGATATTCTCCCTGCGGGGGAGAGGGACAGGATTAAGACTTATTGTAAAGAACTTGGCTTCTATTATACCATTTTAGATGCGGTTTTTTGCAATTTAACAGGGTATGTCAAGAGAATGTACACTAAGAAGGGATTTTTCAAAAAATTCCCCNATTATAACTTATTTATCTATTGTTATTTAAAGTCAAGTCACTTTTTTATTTTACATAAAAGTTAATTATAATTATAAAAATAGATGAGTAATTTTATTGTTTTTGTGTAGATTTCAACTGTCCAGCTGGTACAATTTATCAGCATTGCCATGATGCATGTCCTCAAACTTGTCATAATGATTCTCTACCAATAGATTGTCATAAACTAAAAATTGATGGCTGTTTTTGTCCAGAGAATATGGTGTTTAAAAATGGATCATGCACAGAAAAATTATATTGCAGTAAGTATTTACATTTTGTCTATTTTAAAAATTTATGATTTGAAAACTTACTACAGTAATTTTAGAATTTTCATTTCATTTTTTATAAAGTGTTTTGACTATCCTATTGCATAATTATTTAATGTATTAATTAAATAACCATAAATTAAATGTAAATTTGTTTAATATTAAAAGAAGAGATTATAAGTTATTTGTTTAAATGTAAAAATTATTTAGATCTATATTAATTTTATATATTTTTATTAATTATTTTAAAAAGTGAATCTAAATGAATCTAAACCTGAAAATGAAAAATACAGAGAAACTTGAAAATGTAAACTGAAAGCCAAATCCAGAAAAATTTTACATTCCTCATGCATAAAATTTCTGGAAAATCAAGTCACGAGATGTTCAGTGGAAATTTTTTCTGGTTACGTAAAATGTAGGTGTTGACCAATCAGATTCCTGGGAATGATGACGTGTTTACAATGTCACTGATGTTGCTGCTGTGCTGCCTGAGACTGAAAACGAGAAACCACATGTGTGCATTTTTATAATATTATATTCATGGATAAAAAGTGACATGATTTTAGTTTTAGTAGATCTATACTACCATGTTAATAAATTTTTTTTAAAATACTTAAGAGTTAAATCAAAACAATTGTCATTTAAAATGAAATCAAAATTTAACTTTTATTCAATCAAATTTGCAATGAAATATTCTGTGTAAAAAAAATTACAGAGCTGTAATAAAAGACACTTGGCAACCCTAGGCCTTAAAAAGAACACTGGAATGGAAAACTTTACTTACTCATAGTAATATTGCTAATCATGCAGACAAAGTTCTTTAATCTGGCTTCCACTGAAACCAAGCTGCTTGCAAGCCATAAACAGCTTCCTCACCCAAATCTTACGCTTCTTCTGTTGTTGCTGAAGCATCACACATACAGTTAAAATTGAGTAATGTGTAATTGGTAATCAAGAACCATGAAAGAATCCATGTTTAGCTTGAATTGGCAGGAGCCAGAATGAATGTAGAAGTAGCACTGCTACTAATGTGAACTGACACTAGATAGCAAAGAAGTTTGTAATTTTTTTCATTCCATTTTTCTTTTTTTTACATGGGAAACATTGAATTCACACTGAATGGAAAATTTCCATATTATTGGTAGTAAGCTTTTTTTCTGTAAGTGTGACCCCAGCTTTATTAACACTAGCAACTGAATTGGCAGCATTTGGTATGAGAATCATCCCAAACTCTGTCAGTTCAGCTCCATATATTCAAAAGTTGTAAAACCTTCAATACCAAAGAGAGTAAAACTAGTTTAATAAATTTTACTGTAATGTTATCAATTTTTAAAAAGTATTTTTACAATATGGAAGAACAGATTTTGAAGTAATTTAAGAGAAAAGTGTTATTAAAATTTTAGAACATTGTTTGCAGAAATTTTGATGTATATCAATTAGTACTTATGTTCTCTTATTGGTAAATATAAATTGAATATTTTAGTATTCTATTAATCTATCAGTTAAGACAAGAGTTGTGCTAAATTTTCAGATTTTAATCTAATTTATAAACATAAAAAAAGATACAAAGTTCCAAACATATTGAATTCCTTCCTGTTAACTGTGTGGAAATAACTCATTAAATAACATTTTAATATTTTATATTCAAAAATTAATTATCCACTCTTATTTGTTATTTATATGGTTTATTTTGTAATAATTTTATACTATTCATAAAATATTATACAGTGGGTGATCAGTTAACGAGCATAATCCATTCCAAGACTTTGTTTGCTATCCAAATTGTTCATTAACCGATTATCGATTTACCACAGGTTTCTATGGGAATTTGATTAATTCATTCTGGAGACTCCCAAAAAGTAAAAAATACACACTTTCTTACTATGTTTATATGTATGTAATAATAAAAATACATATACAGTCGACCCCCCGTATAACACAGCAGATACGTTTCGGTTTTAATGAATCCATTTTCTATGAGTCCAGCCAATCACAGCTCGGCACGTATGCAGTTTATGGACTACGGCTGTTTGAAAGGTTTCTTCCATAAAATTAATCGAATCTAGATTAATTTGACTCAACATTTCCAAAATACATATAATTTTTTAGGAATAATCCATATAAACTATGCTATAAACAAAAAATTGTAGGATTACTTACCGAGCATGAATCGTTCGACTACACCATTGCTTAAGCTTTGTTTTCGTCGCAGAGCAGCACATCAAACGGGTGCATTTTCTGATAAGTTATTTTTCTGTGAAAAATTCTATGGAGCTTGTCATCGAATGACACTCGCGTGCTTCCTGATAAATTATTTTTTTTGCTGAACTTTGGAGACATCATTAATATAAATATAATTTTTATGGATGTTAAATAATAAATGGTTTTTAGTGTTCAAATTTTAGGGACAAAGAACTAGACTTTATTGTTTTACTGTTGAGCTTTTATTTTTCACGTGTCTTCATTTACACACAAGACAAAGGAAAGGAGAGGGGTCTGACACAAAGGGTTCTGGTTTTTATACATACAGCCAGAGCGCCCTCTGTGGGGAAATATCCACAAATAAGTATCATAATTAAAAAACATTAAAATTATTTAAATTAAAACAGTAACAGCAATATTAATAGTAGTAGTAACAATAATAATAATCTTCTTCCCTTTTTTTTTTACTTTCTCAACATTTAGTAGGTCTGCTGCTCGTTTAAACTCAATGGTTTGTGCAATATCCACTATTGGTCTAGATTCGACCAATCCTGTCGCGACACGAGTCATCGATGACGTTTTAATGAATTATAGGAGTTTTTTTTAGCATGTTTGTATGAATACTGTCACAATTTTTTCGCCGTGATATACAGTAGGAATCTGAACTATAGGAACCCATGTTATAGGGGGGTCGACTGTATGCCCAGTCTTGCATTTGTATTAGTCATGTTTTTTCCGTTTGTGGGAATTAAAGAATCTGTCCAATGTCGATTGCTTTTCTGTCTTATTCATGATTTTTCAGAAGTAATTAATAGCATTGTAATTGTAGAGATCCCTAAGCCTATTAACCTCAATTTGGTTTGGATGCCATTTTAAGTCTGTTGTTCTGACATCCTCCCACTTCTTCAAAAGATCTTTAATAGCAGATATCAGCATTAATCCGCTTTTTCAGAAAAAAACATAAAAGAATTGTTTCTGTCAGAAATATAAAAGGCTGAAATTACAAGGGAAAATTTCAAAGTTTGGGGGCATACTATCCGATCAGTATATACTGAGTTGAACATCGATGTTGACATCTTCCGCACTCTGAAAAGTTTTGAATTGTTGCCTGAAGACAAAGGAAGACCAATCAGTATTCGTTAATTTATGTCACTTCTTTTTGTGTTTGTTCAGTGAAGTGTTCATTATCTGAACATAAAAATCTTTCGCGAAAGTGTTCGTTATTCGATTTGTTCATTAACTGATCACCCACTGTATATAGTTTATTATTTTACTTATATATAATGCATTTGACTTATTCTCTTCTACAATTTAAATACAATTAAATAAAACTGTTGAATATTAAAACAATTAACCAGCTTAATAAGGATAATTTCTGATGTAATATTTGAAATACTGTATATTTCTAAATTCAACACTTGCATCACCGGTGAGTTCTCAGTTGAGTCCCTACATTGAACAATCTGACAATGTTTGCAGAAAAAAAGAAACATTTGCATTGAAAGGGCACTTTTCATGATGGTCGACTTAATTAAGGAGAAGATAACGATTGTCTGTTCTGCTAAATAATTAAATTAACTCACTTATTCGAATAAGTCCTTTTATTCAAATGAACCCTTATCTGTATCATTTTCTTCTATACTGGGTCTTTCAGTTGTAATCAATTTTGGACAAATTCATGGAGATAGTTTGTTTCTGAAAAACAGCTTAATATTTCGATATTGACGAAACTATCCAATATAATTGTGCAATCACATGTTTTATTATATACAGATCTGCCCGCTATTAAAGCATCCATAGCAAGAGTGAATTGATAGTTTCTATAAGCGAAATCTACTTGTTTCATGGATACCATCATGTTAGTCTGTTGAATACTCAACAGTCTTTCAGGTTGTTGAGACCATTGAGCTCAACATTGAAACAGTGCTGATGTCACTAGTCTCAACAGAGAGCTCAGCAGTCCATTTAGAAATGTTTTCTCATCATTGAGTTAACTGTTGAATATAGAAACATACAGATAGTTAAGCTCTTGACAATTCACTTTAAAAAGTGTTTAGAATATATCAACCAAACATTGTTTTAGATTTTTGCTTTTAGTATTTATTCTTAATTATCCTCTGAAAACATCATATTGTCAAAATAAGAATTTAATCTTTCATCATACCACCATATTACAAATTACAGAATTTGATGAGTTAAACATTTTGACAGTTAGAAACTTTAATAATTAGAAATGTAAATTATATTTTATAATCAAATTAATTTTATTGTTCAAATGTTTTTAGTCTATCTCTGACTTGTCTTCCTGTTTAAATATATTTTAATATTAATAACATTCTTCCAATATTTTTGAATTACTTTTGAAAGAAACTTTTGAATTGAACATAGTTGGAATTATATATATATATTTCCAACTATGTTCTTATTTTTTCTTACTCTGTACCTCATACTCATTAAGACTTTTATCATAGTCAATATTTTCCAGACTAATATCACTTTAAATTGGATTCAATAACTGATGAATAAAAACAAGACAACTATTGTTTTATACCATCTTATTAACACAGAAATGATTAAAAAATTACACTTGTTATTTTTTTTAGGAATGCAGTTTTCTTTAGTTATTTATCCTTAAAGAAATATCATGAATAATAATATCTAGAAAGCATTTCATGTTATAAAAATAGGAATGAAAAATGGGATTACCATAATCATCCTTTTGGAAATAAAATAAAAAATTGTTTTTTGTCATAATTATGCATTTTATAGATATGTTTTGTTTTATATTTATTTAAATATATTTTTATTAGAATATACAGTATATAAGAAATTTGATTTTTATAAACTTAATTTTTACAAATTTATCTTAATTTTCAGATACCTGTGATGACAATGGACATTTGGTGAGTTTATTAATTTATTCAAACTCTTTAAGACATTTATCAAACAAACATATTTATTTCATTATCAATAAAAAAATCCAAGAAAATCTTATTTAGTGAAATGCAAAATGCTTAATTTTAATACTAAATCTCAAATATTGTTAATGCAAACTTCATTAGAATGAATTTTTAAAAATATTTTTTTAAAAACTGATTTTTTAATAAAACTAATTATATTAATGGAGATTGAATTTATTGACACTTATTATATTTTGAATAAAGGCTTAATAAAAATTCTAACTCCTTACAATATATAAATTCTCAAATTGAGAAATCTGAATTTAACATTATATTAATGTTTTTGAAGTTTTTTAGTTCATCTACATATGTGTCACTTTACCTTTGTCCAAAAGGAATTGAACAATTTTGTGTAACATCTTTACAATGGTTGTGTAAGCAACAAAATTAGCAACAATTAACTAGTTTATAGGATGTAACTTATAACAGTATATATTCATTAAATTTATTAACTTATTAAAATGATAGATTAATTAATATATTAAAACATTGTGCAATTGATAGAACATAGTATTATAGTAAGTAAACAATATAAATAAAATAAGATCGTAAATAAATTTTAAATATAATTATTCAGATAAAAAAATAAATAAAAAGAAAGTTATTTGCAAATTGATTGCTAAACTATCATATTCAGTTGATTATACAACAACATATTAACTTACTGCTCTGGAATCAGGATTCTAGTCAAGATTATAATTTATAATGGATAATTTGGGTTGATGGTAGTGTTTCCTATCTCTCAGTCATGCTGGTAACTCCATTTTGAGTCAGCTCTTCCATGAAGTGAATAATTTTGTCCTGTTATGCAAGCTGCACTGTATTATTGCCTCAGTAATTAATTAATCAATCAATTTGTTTATCCACAGACTGAAAGCTAGAGCAACATCTTGTCTTCTAATTTATTATTAGTAGATGTATATTGCTAAAGCATAATTAGATTTTTTGCTGTTCTAAGAAACATAGATCTTTGAGTATAACAATGGGTTTTTCATTAAAATACATTTATATATTAAAATATAATTTCCCTTCTGATCAAATACATTTTGACTTTTGTCAACCAATCAAGAGCTCACATTTTTATTTTTTATATTGATTGGATATTTATATTTGTATGAGGGTCATACAGAAAATTATTTTTGGCTATAAAAAATAAAAAAAACAGTAAGGATAGGAAAAAAGTTTTATTAAGTAAATACAGTAGAGCATCGTTTATCCGAAAGTCGGTTATCCGAAACGTCAGTTATCCAAAAGAATTCCAGTTGGCAAATTTAAATTTTCGCTAGTGCTGTGGCGCTGCAATCTTTGGCTATATCTTGGGCTACTCCAATATTTTTTATGTTTGTGTATGTGTTTTAGCTGGCAGCACTGTCACTTTTGTGTGGTGTTTTTCTGAGGACTGTGTCGTGCTGAATCGAACATTTTTGATACTAGATAACTTCTAAAGTATAAATTTTTTTGTTTTTATATTTTTAAATATATTTATTTTGTTTGTAAAAAATAAAGAAATAATTTTTAAAGATACAATAGCTACGATTATTATTTTTAAAAGTTTACATTAGGCTTAACATCGACGAAAAATCAACACGAAGCGACACGCAACGGAGAAAAATTTCAACACGGGATAGGTTAATGTACTTTTTCGTAAATAATCGGTTATCCGAAAAATAAGTTATCCGAACAACCCCAGTCCCCAATTGATTCGGATTAACGACGCTCTACTGTAATACAAGACTAGTTACTTTTCTGCATACAATTACAATTAAAACACTCATCATAGTGCTAATTTTTGGATTCTTTTGTCATAGACTTACACCACCAGTTCTTTCAGCCAATTAGTGACAGCTTCTTTTATCTCTTATCTGTTCCAAAATGTTTCAAATCCACCCAATAACTCTTTATGCTTGAGAAATAATTGAAAGTCATTGGGGGCCAGCTAAAGACTGTATGGTGAGTGATCAAAAACATCCCAGGCAAATTTCTGAAGCACAACTTGAGTGGCTGCAGTAACGTATGATTGTGCATTATCTTTCTTGATTAAACATTATTTTCTTGTACTTGCTTTGTTCATAATGTGATCACACTTCTGTGATTTGTTCATGAATTTCTATAGAACAAACTTTCTTTATGTTTAGAAAACAAATAACACTTTGCATTTGACAGGATTTCTGATTTTTGTACCCATTTTAACCCTTGATAAAATAGTAAAAATAAGCATGCTGCTATTAAACTCCACGTGTGCCAAGCTAACACATCACATCAGAGAACAAATCGACCTTGAATTAATGTCAATAATTTACCTGTGCAGAGTGCAATGCACAGATGTTCTTTATTTTCTGCACACCCTTTTTATATATTGATTCTTCAAATATTCAAAGCATTTGGCAATTGTGAGGATCCAGAGGCTGTTATTTTTTTTCAAAAAAGAGAAGCTTTAGAAACTTTTCCTTTTTTCCATCCAATTCCTACAAAATAAGAATGGAAGAATATCAAATATTAACATAACTGTCAACAAGTTACATTGATCCGTGAAATTAGTGCAAATATGTTATAACAGTCGACTGTCAAATCTGAGAAAGTTGATTAATTTAGTTTACAGGAGGAAATCTATAAACAATTGCTAAGAAACAATCATGTCCATGCTACCAAACAAACAGTCACCTGATCAAATTCCCACGCTAAATACCCATATAATGACACCCAACTTTTTTTTTGTTGCGGCGATCAGTCCCTGAGGAGTAGACTTGACTTGGTGAATTGCAACTCTTCACCTTCTTCCCTACTCCCATTCGGATATAGGCCATCTGGAAATTCTTTCAAGTAAATCCATGATTGTTTTACTAATATCAAACAAACAGGATTCGGAACCATTGAGTCACGCGGTATTATACTCTTGATTGTAAACTCTCCCTCTCGATTATTTAGCATTTGAGTTAGGGCTAGTAGTAGTAACTATAGTCTAGGTCAGGCATGGCCAACATATGGCCCGCGGGCCAGATCCAGTCCGTCTAATGAATTTATGTGGCCTGCGATTAATCTTTCAGTATTAGCTACTTAAGTATGAATAGCTCGATGAAAAATTCTGATTCCTAAAAAAAAAAGAAAGAAAAAAGTCAACAACTCACTATGTTTAGAGTTAACCCTCCATTACAAATCTCTTAAGTACAGCATAGAATGTTGATAAAGCATGATAATGTGAAAAATGTATCTGTAATTTCTATGTACAGTACAATTTAGTCTCTACGGGGTGACGCCACAATGAGATCTTGCACCACCTCAAAATCTTCCTAGGGCAGCATCAGGTTCGGCCTGTGAAAAAAGTTTTCTTTGCAATTCAGCCCGGGGGCAAAAACTGTTGGTCACCCCTGGTCTAGGTCATTGACCTCTAGCATAGTAATGCATAGCTATAATTGTATCTGTCATTTGTATATTGTATCTTATGTTTTATTTTCCTATTAAACTTGTTGAATTTTAAATGGTTGCTCTCACTTGTGTATCACAGACGCCCTATCGACTTACTTAATGCAACTTCTCCACTCAACTTTTTGCCCTCTTAGCCATCCAGTGACAAGGTGAGCGGATCCCACTGATCCGTTGCTGTGAAAAGGGGTTTAGAGTTCAATCCCCTTTTCTCTACCTCCTAGTTTCTCACACAATTTAAGTTTTGCATTACTATTAGAAAGGACTGATTTTCAATTCTCCATCACAACAATGTTTGATCTAAAACTATTTTTTTAATTAATTACAGCTAAGAGTTATTTCTTTTATTTTAATTAGCTTTTGTGTTTGCTTGGAATTATTACCATAATTAGTATAAAATGGCATTGTCAAAATAAATGTATTTTATTACATCCATAAACATCTCAAAGCCCAATGTTTTAATAAGATTGAGTTGCTTATAATTTAATTATTAATAATAATGGTAAAGTAACCCAATTCAATATGGCAATCATTTGGCTTATAAATTATTTTGTCTTGAACTGTTACAATATAAACAAATAAAATTTAAATTTAAATGTTTTCATAAATTATAGTGCTGGGNTATTTATTTTGTTTGTAAAAAATAAAGAAATAATTTTTAAAGATACAATAGCTACGATTATTATTTTTAAAAGTTTACATTAGGCTTAACATCGACGAAAAATCAACACGAAGCGACACGCAACGGAGAAAAATTTCAACACGGGATAGGTTAATGTACTTTTTCGTAAATAATCGGTTATCCGAAAAATAAGTTATCCGAACAACCCCAGTCCCCAATTGATTCGGATTAACGACGCTCTACTGTAATACAAGACTAGTTACTTTTCTGCATACAATTACAATTAAAACACTCATCATAGTGCTAATTTTTGGATTCTTTTCTCATAGACTTACACCACCAGTTCTTTCAGCCAATTAGTGACAGCTTCTTTTATCTCTTATCTGTTCCAAAATGTTTCAAATCCACCCAATAACTCTTTATGCTTGAGAAATAATTGAAAGTCATTGGGGGCCAGCTAAAGACTGTATGGTGAGTGATCAAAAACATCCCAGGCAAATTTCTGAAGCACAACTTGAGTGGCTGCAGTAACGTATGATTGTGCATTATCTTTCTTGATTAAACATTATTTTCTTGTACTTGCTTTGTTCATAATGTGATCACACTTCTGTGATTTGTTCATGAATTTCTATAGAACAAACTTTCTTTATGTTTAGAAAACAAATAACACTTTGCATTTGACAGGATTTCTGATTTTTGTACCCATTTTAACCCTTGATAAAATAGTAAAAATAAGCATGCTGCTATTAAACTCCACGTGTGCCAAGCTAACACATCACATCAGAGAACAAATCGACCTTGAATTAATGTCAATAATTTACCTGTGCAGAGTGCAATGCACAGATGTTCTTTATTTTCTGCACACCCTTTTTATATATTGATTCTTCAAATATTCAAAGCATTTGGCAATTGTGAGGATCCAGAGGCTGTTATTTTTTTTCAAAAAAGAGAAGCTTTAGAAACTTTTCCTTTTTTCCATCCAATTCCTACAAAATAAGAATGGAAGAATATCAAATATTAACATAACTGTCAACAAGTTACATTGATCCGTGAAATTAGTGCAAATATGTTATAACAGTCGACTGTCAAATCTGAGAAAGTTGATTAATTTAGTTTACAGGAGGAAATCTATAAACAATTGCTAAGAAACAATCATGTCCATGCTACCAAACAAACAGTCACCTGATCAAATTCCCACGCTAAATACCCATATAATGACACCCAACTTTTTTTTTGTTGCGGCGATCAGTCCCTGAGGAGTAGACTTGACTTGGTGAATTGCAACTCTTCACCTTCTTCCCTACTCCCATTCGGATATAGGCCATCTGGAAATTCTTTCAAGTAAATCCATGATTGTTTTACTAATATCAAACAAACAGGATTCGGAACCATTGAGTCACGCGGTATTATACTCTTGATTGTAAACTCTCCCTCTCGATTATTTAGCATTTGAGTTAGGGCTAGTAGTAGTAACTATAGTCTAGGTCAGGCATGGCCAACATATGGCCCGCGGGCCAGATCCAGTCCGTCTAATGAATTTATGTGGCCTGCGATTAATCTTTCAGTATTAGCTACTTAAGTATGAATAGCTCGATGAAAAATTCTGATTCCTAAAAAAAAAAGAAAGAAAAAAGTCAACAACTCACTATGTTTAGAGTTAACCCTCCATTACAAATCTCTTAAGTACAGCATAGAATGTTGATAAAGCATGATAATGTGAAAAATGTATCTGTAATTTCTATGTACAGTACAATTTAGTCTCTACGGGGTGACGCCACAATGAGATCTTGCACCACCTCAAAATCTTCCTAGGGCAGCATCAGGTTCGGCCTGTGAAAAAAGTTTTCTTTGCAATTCAGCCCGGGGGCAAAAACTGTTGGTCACCCCTGGTCTAGGTCATTGACCTCTAGCATAGTAATGCATAGCTATAATTGTATCTGTCATTTGTATATTGTATCTTATGTTTTATTTTCCTATTAAACTTGTTGAATTTTAAATGGTTGCTCTCACTTGTGTATCACAGACGCCCTATCGACTTACTTAATGCAACTTCTCCACTCAACTTTTTGCCCTCTTAGCCATCCAGTGACAAGGTGAGCGGATCCCACTGATCCGTTGCTGTGAAAAGGGGTTTAGAGTTCAATCCCCTTTTCTCTACCTCCTAGTTTCTCACACAATTTAAGTTTTGCATTACTATTAGAAAGGACTGATTTTCAATTCTCCATCACAACAATGTTTGATCTAAAACTATTTTTTTAATTAATTACAGCTAAGAGTTATTTCTTTTATTTTAATTAGCTTTTGTGTTTGCTTGGAATTATTACCATAATTAGTATAAAATGGCATTGTCAAAATAAATGTATTTTATTACATCCATAAACATCTCAAAGCCCAATGTTTTAATAAGATTGAGTTGCTTATAATTTAATTATTAATAATAATGGTAAAGTAACCCAATTCAATATGGCAATCATTTGGCTTATAAATTATTTTGTCTTGAACTGTTACAATATAAACAAATAAAATTTAAATTTAAATGTTTTCATAAATTATAGTGCTGGGACTAGATTAATTATTTACATCATAAAATAATAGATTAAAAGTTTATATTACAAAAATTTGCTACATAAAATATAGCTATTATTTGATATTGTATTAGTATTATATCATTATTATACTACATTAATATTTTTAATCTAAAGAAGAAGAAATATTTACTATACTTTATTTATTACACTTATATAAGCTTATTTATAATATTGTCCAAAAGTTTTTATTCTTTTAAGTTTACATAAATGATATAATGTCAGAGTAATATAATTAAAGTAATATAAAATTACATAATTTTATTAAAACATATTATAATAATAATAATGTATAAAAATATTTTTTAGCCCGGTGATACTTGGTTTGAAGAAAAATGCACTATATGCACATGTACTGAAAAACTACGAATTGAATGCAGAGAAAAAGTTTGTCCAAACCCACCAATATGTAATGCTGACGAAAAGTTAAAAGAAGTGTCCAGCAATAACAACTCCTGTTGTAGCATGTTTATTTGTCGTTAGTATACTTTAATTGCTTAAGACATTCTATACAGCCATCTGTGGTACTAAAATATTATAAAATTGGCTTTATTATTCAAATACAGTATTAATAAGAAATGCTTTTAGAATTTTACAAACAATAAGGTTTAAATATTTATTATTATTTGTGTATGGTAGATTGGAAGGGATTATTATTTACTTAATTATAGTAATGCTTACAAGGAGAGGGTCAGATGTTCAGATCTTCGATTTGAATGAAACTTGGTGAGCATATAGCCCTAAACAAACAGCTCCTTGTCCAAATAATAGAAGCCACTTCTTAAACATTTCTGAAAAACAGACCTCTGTAAATTGACTGTTTAGTTTATTTTGAAAGCTTTTTGGATATTTTTGCTCATGATTACATATTATGTCACCACAAGTGAATAAGATTCAGATGTTACTGCAGATTGACAGTTTCCTCATGCACTCATGTTGTTACATTTCAAATATAACAATACTACCATATTGATAATAAATACAAAGAAATAAAACTTTTATTTAATGACATAAAAAAGTTAAATCTATAGAGACTTCTTTTTCACTAAACAGGAAATGACATCATGATTTTTTAATATTTTGTTTTATAAGTGTTAAATTGTCCATAACATTAACAATATGTTAATGATATGGTAAAATAATAGAATAATTTTGTTACACAAAAAAAAATCTAAAATTGTGAAGGCTTGAGCCAACATCATATAGCGCTAGCATCTTATCCACTCAAGTATTGCTTTTCCAAGGATATGTGAAACTTTTAAACACATAAACTAAATACTCAATTTTCAGAGACTCATTTTTTCAGAAATGCTCAAGAAGTAGGTCCTATTATAAATAATAACAACTGAAAGCCCGAGAAATATACAATAAATCACCAAACGATCGCCTTAATATCGGGCTATAATATGGCTAATTAAATGATTAGTATAAAGTAATTTGACATTAGAGGTAGACGTTAGGCATTATCTCTTAATTAAATTAATTATTAAATAAATTTAGAACCTTCTGGAATAAAATAACTGGCCCAGGACTAGGCTTGAACCCGCAACCTCTGCTTGCCATGCGGTGCACTTGCCAGTTACGCCACTCGGACCCGAGCGAGTCTTCGCTTCCATAAGTATATTAGATTAGATATAACCTTACTTGGTTAAATACATCACAACTGGGGACGACTTCATCACCCACGACCCCAACAGCACTCAGCCAGCTAACGTAATACCCGGCGAGGTATATATATATATATATAATAACAACTCAAAGCCCGAGAAATATACAATAAATCACCAAACGATCGCCTTAATATTGGGCTATAATATGGCTAATTGAATGATTAGTATAAAGTAATTTGACATTAGAGGTAGACTTTAGGCACTATCTCTTAAGTAAATTAATAATTATAATTAAATAAATAAATTATTAAATAATATGTCAAATTACTTTATACTAATCATTTAATTAGCCATATTATAGTCCGATATTAAGGTGATCGTTTGGTGATTTATTGTGGGTCCTATTATTTGGACAACATGCTGTTTGTGATTAAGGCTGCATGCTTATCAAGTTTCATTCAAATAAGAGACCTGATTGATCCTCTCCATGTTAATACAGCAATGCAAGACTAAATTGGATTCAAGAAATGTTTTCATTCATATTTTATTTGTTTGTAAATAGGTAAACTTACTATAAAATTTATCATAATACTGAATTTAAAAAGGTAATTAAAAAATAGAAATCAAAATTATCAGAAAATGTATATTTAGCCTGTCTATGACTGGTATGTATTATGTTCAAGCAGAATTGCCAATTGTGACTTAAAATTGAATTTTCCAACTGGCACAGATTAACTGTAGAGATGCCAAAGGAAACATCTATTTTGAGTACTAAATTTTTTATGTATGCTTCTAAGTAATCTTTTGTGAATTTTGTGAATGATTTCTGTCAGGATATTATTTTTTTTAAATTTACAATAATGCAGTTTAATCAAGCAACAAAAAGAATTATTATAGTGCCTTTCTTGTCTAAATTAAACTATAAGTATAATGATAGCTTCCTATAGCTAGACTTATTATACTGTTATGAATACAGATGAACTATGAAGTCAGTATATCACTTTTTTATCATTGGAAACCACAAAGGAAATGTTAAAGAATGATATACTGACTTCATAGCTTATCTGTAGATTTATTACACCATAAACTATCATTAAGTTTATATTGTAAGGACAATTATTGTTGTATAATTAGTATAGTAAATGGATGATGGAAAAACAAGCATTTTTGAGAATCCTTTGAAAGTTAATTTTTCTTACAGCCTAAGTAATAAAAATAAAACATACTATAATATTATTAACGTTAATATAATTATTTTTCTCTACATTGAGAGTGATTTATATAAATTATACATGCTAATAATAAATTTTACATATGATAAATCTATAAAATACAAAATATATGTACAATTATATTAAATGACTTTAAAATTAAAGTGTATATTTTCTAACAATTACAGAATATTTTTTATATTCCAGAGAAAGCCCTATCACAAGTATCATGTCCTGCTACTGAAGTACCAACGTGTAAGAGAGGAGAATCAGCAAAACTAATAACAGAAGGAAACTGTCCAAATTATACCTGTGGTAAAAACATTTATTTATTTTTCCAAAAGAGTTTTTAATAATCTGATTGAGTTTCATAAATAAATGTGAGGACTTCCATGATGACTTATAACAGACTCACTATTGTTAAACATTGTGATCAACACCCCCTATTTAAAGAAAAGTTGTCATTCAGAATGGCAATAAGATATGAATTACATATGTGAGTGGTGACATTAGACACTGAGGCAAGAACTCCATTTACAATTGACACCTGTTCATTAGAATACAAAAGAAATCTTACAAAAGTTAGGAGATCCCTTTTTCTTAAAAGTAATTTGATGGGATACACAGTAAGTCCTGATGATAATGATGTTTTTGGGATACAATGTCTCAGTACTACAAGCTTCCTAGGGCTCATTGCTTCTTCTCATCTGTTGATGAGAAGGAGCAATGGTGTTTTGAATAGATAATGCACTGATACAAAAATTGAGTTGAAGGAATTAACACACTGTCTGTCACTTGTACATATCACTTGATCAAAAATTGGACTGTCATGATGGAAAAAGCCCCCATGTCCTTGGTTTTGTGATTTTTAAAGGTTTCATATCTCTGACCGGACATTCTAGTTAGTCATGATATCCCACTTCCCCTTTTTCAATTGGCTCCTAGTTTGTTGCCAGGGCTATTAAAGACCAAATTCAGAGATCAGACACTTGTTGGAGATGGTTATTGTATTGCTATGATTTCCACCCATAATTCATACATAGTTAAGCATTTTTACCCCCATTATAAATATTGCTAGCTATACTCACATGACATTTTGTCACATTAAACATTTTATTTTGCTATTTTTGTGATCGTCAGAGGAAAGGTTGAATTCCCATTCTAGTCTCTCAAAAAACCTTTCTTTCAATTTTTTACTGACTAAGATTAGTTTTTTACATAAAATAATTTTCTTCTTTAAAAGAAATTTTGGTCATGGTTTCACCACAATTTTTAATCTCTTGTTAATGTGAGAAATAATAATAAAATGATGCAGTAAAATAATAATGTTACAAATAAAAACTAAACTAAAATTTTGAAGAATTGAACCTACATCATCTAGCACCAGTGCTTAGCGTCTTATTCACTCAGCTTTTGCCACTCTTGGATATGAAACTTCCAAAGACTTATAAGGTAAACGATAAATTTTCAGAGGCTCAATTTTTGGAAATGCTTGAGAAGTGGGTCCTGTTATTTGGATGATGAGCTGTTTGTGTTTAGGGCTATGTGTTCACTAAATTTAATTCGAATCAGAGACCTGGATGTCTGGCGTTCCCTTGCTAGCAATAGGAATAATTTTTTTTAATGAATAATTCTGAACAACACATTTGATCACAATGTTTAAACAGTATTTCACATGTTCTGTTGTGTCAAAATTTTTGTTTTATTCTACTGAAAAAAGTCAGTCACCCCAAAAAATTCCCCAAAATTTTTGTTGGTCAATAAAATATCCCAATCCAGAAATTCAAGGTGGCATTGCACAAAACTATCTTCAGTTCTCAATGTAACTTCCTACTTTTCATCCCGAACTTGCTGTGTGACGTCGTGAAATCACTAGATGTCTAGTGTATGAGACTCCTTGTATTGTATTATAAGGAAGCTCAACATTTTGCTGTTTTTCCTGAAGTGTGATTTATGATTCAATTTCACACTGAATGTCAAAACAAGCAGACTAGGATTTTATTGCCACTTTCTATCACCAGTATTATATTTTTATCGCCACCTTAATACTTTAATGAAAGTATCGCCAAGTGGCAATTTTGGCCCTCTATAGTATGACCTCTGCAAATGCTAACCATTTTCACTCGGTTAAAATGGTTGAAAACATTAACATTTTGGTTATTTTAAGAAATATATTGCTGTAATTTAAATGTTTTATATCTTTATTGTGCATTTTTCTTAATTCAGTTGTTTTTATTATTCCATAGAAAGTACAAAATACAGGATATCCTTTTAAAAATGGACAAAAACATTTGCTTTTTAAAGTGGTGTTTGTTTTGCTGATTTTTTGGTTATTGAGTTAGAAATTTTATAGCACAGGATATACTGATAAACTTGAATCAGCAAATGCACAGGTTTCAACAAACTTCAAGAAATTGAATTGAGGCAAAGCAATGCAATAATAAGTGCCACCCATAAGTGTCTGACATGACTTCTTGGTCAATAAAATAACTTACTGAGTCATATCAGCCATATAGAAATGACCACAAAAACATCTTTATTTTTTTAAAAAAAATAAAAAAAGACAAATGAACAAAGAACATAAATCACTAACTAGATTATTTATTTCAGTTTCATTAATCAAAGTAGTTAATTTTACTTCAATTCCAAGGATTATTTTAATTCAAACTAGCTTGATAATTAATATGTTAAAGGAAGTTCATTCCTTTAACTTGCCTGTTAGAAACATTGCACCATCATCATAGGATTTTTCTAGTCAGGAAGGCATCCTGAAAGACATCTTTAGTGTGTTTCTTGGCTGAGAGATGACTCTTCTATGCTCTCCAACTCAACTTTCTCATCTCTTCTCAACATGTTGATGCCAGATTTGGATTCCATTAAAAGAATTCTCATTATCAATAACCACATTGGATTGTGTTAGGTGATAAAACTGATGATCTAAGGGCTTGTTTATAGCTCAACTTCTCTTGTACCTGACATATAGCTTTCCATATCTTGCTGGATGCTATAGCTAACGTCTCATAAATGCTGGTAGAATAATGAGTAGTGGAATAATAATGAAAGTGTTTTTTTTATTTTATTCTGCTTTTATATAAATGAAAATAATGTGTTGTTGTTTAACGAAATATGTATTTCAAATTTTATATTTTAAATAACATAATTATTGATTAAAATCTGTAATTCCTTATTTTCTAAATTATAATATTACATTTTATATTTTTATAGTTTGTGAGCCAGTTTTGTGTCCTCCCATTACAAAACCAAATAATTTAAAACCTGGACAGACAACAGAAATTATTAAATCTGAATGTTGTCCTGAAATTCAAATTATATGCAAGAATGAACTCTGCCCACCAGTAATTTCATGTCCTTCTCATTTAGAATTAAAACAATATGATGATGAATGTTGTCCTATATACCAGTGTGGTAAGTTTTATCTTATACTTTATCTGTACTTAAACTGTAATTAATTAAAAGAACAATTACTATAATAATTTCTATTTTTTTTAGTCTGGTATATAAAAAAGCTGGAAAGGGCTCTTGCACAACTTTCCTGGCATTTATAATTTACAAAATTAAAGTTACGTGTAGTGCCATCTGTTATGAGATTTTATCAATTAAAAAATAATTTTTATATTATTAATTATTCTTTTATTATAAAAAGGAAAAGGCTTATTTTTAGAGTAAGAAGGAATGAATTTTTAAAGAAATTGTAAAGGCTAATAATGAGTAAAACTTTCAGTAAATCTGATCCCACTCAAGATATGACATATTATCCCTTCTATCTTCCCACCCTTTTTATCTCTAACTACCAAAGTTTAATAGCATCAATGCCCCATATATAAAAATATCAAAAATTTTGGAACTTGTCAAATTCCAAAATTTTTTATTCATTCAGTCCTGAGATATAATGCAAGATAGATGCCAACATCTATATATATAAAATTGCTTGTCCTGACTGAATGACTCACTCAACTGATTCATCATTGCCCAGAGCAAACTGTTGAACCTAAAGAGGTGAAATTTGGTACACAGTAGGGATTGTAAATTTACCGATTTTTTCATTTACCGGTAATTCGGTAAATGAAAATTAAAATACCGGTTTATCGGTAAATTACCGGTAAATTTTTTTCCTGAAAAATAAAATTAAGGTGATAAAAAATATAAGTAATTTTGATTTCTATTTCACATTTTCTATTTCAAAGGTATAGAATATAAAAAATATAAAAATTAAAGTGTTATTCTAAACAAACTATAATAATAACTTTTAGAAACATAAATAAAATAATACAGAAAAATAAAAATAAAACAGAAATAATATATAGTACCTAATACCATTTTACTGATTACCATTTTTTAAAAAATAACTTCTCAAGAAACTTAAATTATTTAAAGTCTTATCTCCTAATTTTGATCTAATTTTTGTACAAAATAATCCGGGTTAGGTTAAGTTTCTAGACTTTTTCGGACATCATCTTTAAGTAATAAAAATCTTTCCAGCATGTTTAGTAAGCTATTCCACCGGGTTCTACAATCTAAAATTAAAGAAAGTTCTTTTCGTGAGAGTAATGGGGATTCCCCACGAAAATAAGGTTAGAATAATACATATTTTGCACAATCGTAAGGCATAATGTTAGAATCTTGTAATAAATATTTGTATTTAATTATTTTAAACAGTTGTTAGAAGTAAAAAATTTATTTAAGGTACAAATTTTAATGTTATTTTGCAATAATATTGCTTTAATGTCCTGTCATAATGTGGTGTATTCAAAATTGCTATTAATTTAAAAAGTACGTGAAATATTTACGTATTATTATTTTTAAATATTAAAAAAAAGATATTTACTTAATCTTTAAGAAAAACGTTGATTGTAAAGATTTTAAACCTTTAAAAATCTCAAAAAACGGCAGAGCACAAATCACATATGCTAACTAGAGCTTTCTGTACAATTTACAGTGCCTCTCAAACCCAAGAAAGTTTAAATTAAAATTAAACAAAAAATATCTCACATAAAATTAATAATTAGGTATATTGTTGCTTACATTTACTGTTTTTTTTTTCAATGTCCCTTTAGCCCTTTTAAATATCTATAAACACAATATTTTCTACATAAAAATTTCTAGTATGAATTTTTCATTTACCAAATTACCGGTAAATTTTTGAAATTTACCGGTAAGTTTACCGAATGTTTTTTTGTCAATTTATTGGTTAACCGGTAAATCGGTAAACTGGTATACAATCCCTAGTACACAGTTAGGATACATCATGAAAGCGCACACTAAGAAGGAATTTTTAGAAATTCCCCCGTGGGGGAGAGGGAGAGCATTAAGACTTAACCGGAAGAATGGCTTCTACTGTACTATTTTAGATGTGATTTTTTGTTTTTATCTGCGTTTTAGTAGGGTATGCCATGGCAATGCACACTAAGAAGGGATTTTTCGAAATTCCTCCGCGGGCAGGAGAGGGAGAGGATTTAGTCTTCATCGAATACTTAGGTGTATTAAATTAATAACATTTCAGACATTGTTATAAATATTTTTATCTATTTCGATTGTAAAAATGTTTGAACCATTTTAAATTTGAATTTGTTATTGCGTATTGGTTCGATTATAGAACGATTGTAAACGTTCCAGAAAATTGATTAAATTGAAAATAGGTCATTTGATTCTCAGCAGTTCTCATCATTCTCAGTGGTAGGTGTTATAAAACAATTACTATGGTTGTTGAAATACTGAATATAAATGGGGTTTGCTGGCAAAATCCTCTCGGACGAACAGCTAGTATACAATAATTTTGTAAGGGGTTTTTTACATTTTTGGACTCTAGTGTCAAAATATTGAAAATTGCAAAAAGAATCAAGAGGATTCAAAATTTTATCAATTACCATATTTTCCCTATGTTATATTGTAAAATAACCAGAAATTAAAAAATAATTTAAATGTGTATTTAACAATAAATAAAAATTTACATTTTACTAATTAAAACTATAAATAAATCTTTGTTTACATATTTAGAAATTTCAAAAGAAAAAGGTGTTTATACTCATGAATATGGAATTGATGAAACCGGATATGATTTTCTAATACCTTTGGATGAGTTGCAAGTTTCAGTTTATAAGGTATGTTTGTTACAAACATTTTTAACAAGATGTTATTTAATGATGTATTAATATTCAATGGATTACAGTAATTTTCACAGCTATGTGGTTTGAAAGAAAAACTAATTAAATTAAACTTATTCTAAAACTAATGTAAATTCTTTTAGTAGACGTGCTATATATCAACTTTTATGGGATCTGTCAAAACAGATGTTATATTGAATGGTCATAATTTAAAATTTTTCTAATATTTTCTGATTTCAGCAGGAAAATGCTGATTACTTTGTACTGTTTTGTGCTTTCATAAGAAAAATTACAAAACTTAAAAGCTATTATTTTAAATTGTTATTTAAAGTAATTTTAAAAAATAAATCTAAAACCCTAAAGAAATATATCACTACATAAACTTGTTTTTAATAATTGACAATCAGTTAAAACAAAATTAAACAAATAATTGAATAATGTTTACTGTAATAATAATTTCCAGAATAAGAATAGTTCTGTGTTCATTATGAAATAGAACATAAGTATAGAACTGTAAGTATTATTTTCATAATGGATCTTTAGTATACCATGTATGTGAACAAATCAAATTGACAGAATATTAGCAGGCCAAATTATCATCAGACAAGTCCAGATTGTCAGGTGCCAGATTAATAAACTTTTACTCTATTTATTTTAAAATAAAGAGAGAATTTATGTATGAATTTTAATAAACTAGTTATTTATATACATAATTTTGATCATTTCTGATTTTAATCATTAGCCAAATGAAACATGGACAGATGGTTTATGCAGAAACTGTACTTGTAAATATAATCATAAGAAATATGTCGCTCAATGTGCTGTTCAAGAATGCCCTGATATTTATAGTATTCCAGAAAATTTAGTAAGTATAGTTTTATTTTATTAAAGTTTATTACATGATGATAAAATTTAATTACAGTAAAAACTGTAAAAATTATTTTTGATTNGCCCTGATATTTATAGTATTCCAGAAAATTTAGTAAGTATAGTTTTATTTTATTAAAGTTTATTACATGATGATAAAATTTAATTACAGTAAAAACTGTAAAAATTATTTTTGATTATTATTTAACATGCTTGTTTTTTACTTAAATGAAGATTGTTGTAATTCATATATTAGGGCTTATCATACACAGCAATCAAGTATTTGAAACAATTTATTACACTTTGGTTATCAGAAAGAATCTACAATTTAAAATTTACAGTTATTACAAAATTAACTAAAATGCATTTCTTTTTTGGAACTTGGATTCCCTCTTCAATTAGATTATTATTCTACATAAAGCCAATAAATTTTTGTAAAAAATACAGCTATACATTGGTAATATAAAATTAATCCATTTTAAACTACATTTGGTACATTTCCTTTTTACATTTGTTTTTTATCAGTCATACAATTAAGGCTTCTTTAGTCCATATAATACAATAATTTTTTAAAAATTATAAGTTGCTTATAATTTAATTAAAACAGTACTTAAATTTTGTATACTTCATATTATGATTTTAACAAATACATTTAAAATATAAATATATCTCAGGACACATTTTCTTCTTGTACTTTTTATGAAAATGTTTACATTTCACTTTTAATCTTTCAATTTTAAAATATTAATGAAGTTTAAGATACTAATATTCCAATACTTTGTCCATCATTCACAAATAACTCATACTTGGTAATCACCAATTTATATTTTTACTATTTACATTTGTATCTAGATATCTATGTCACCTATTATCAATTTTCTCTCTGTTGTTATCATTAATTCTAGTATTTTCTTTTAATTTATTTATATCTAAATGTTCATAAAATCTATGTTTTATTGTGTTTCTTTCATTTCTTTTCATTTTTTATAATGTTTATTGTATTTTTAAAATTTCACAACCTTCAGAATTACAATGCTGAGCTACTGCTAAAGTTTTGATTATTATAATGTTTCTAGTTGGTTTTTGACAAGAAATCTCATGGTATGATTATTGTGCTGTCAATTCTGATTACCCTGTATAGTTAACATATTAAGCACTGTGTGTTGCATTTCTGCAACATACACATACATTGAAATCTGAGCTGTGTTACTTCTGATCAACATGCTAGCCATATAAACATAATGGAAATAGTTAACGCATTTTTTGTAGAAATGGAAATTTCACTTGGCCCATTACATTTTTTATGATAAAATACTAATAGGAATTTAATTGTTTTTCTTTATGAAAGATGAAAAATTTGCCTTATCTAATGTTTTTCTTGCACAATGAAAATGTGAATAAGTACAATATCATGAAAATATAAAACACAAAAACAAATATTCAAGAAACAATCTTCATTTTTCTTGGTGAACATAACCAGTAAAAAAAAAAATTGGTATATTATTTCAGTGATTATTCTATTTCTCTTGAATTTTTATTGGTATTGTACATTTATGCAAGTGGAAGTGTTGTTGAGTTCAAATGCTGAAGATCATACAAGATAGCATAACATGATTAGAAATAAAATTCATTCATGCCACATGTTACAAATTTGCAAATTTAAAAATTGAGAAAAAACATGTTTTAATCAGGGTCTCCAGTCCCTAAGCTTTCCATATGTGGTCTATATTTTAGTGGTCTTGCCCCTGTACATCATACTTCTCTCTCCTGATAACAATCAAGTCATCTATCTAACTCCATACTGGAGAAAATTTTGAACTGAAATCATATGACTTCCAGTCTAGGCCAGAAGTTCATATTTAATTAAACAGGACCTCCAGCCCCTAAGCTTTGTGTATCTTGTCTCAATTTTTATCTAACTCAGTTCTCAAGATTAACAAAAGATAAACAGAAGAGGATAATAGGAATGTATAGGTCTGCAATTTGAAAATTGAGGCCCAAAAAATCAATCTAGTTTTATACTGGATGATTCCAAAGTCCTTTGACATAGCAGTGCAAATGATAATGGATAAGACATTTATTTACATGTGATAAAAAAAGAAAATCAACTTTTATATATAAATATCCTTTGATTAATTAATAAATACACAATATTTTTTGGCATTGATTTAGTTTAATTCAAACAAGAATAGGCACACAAGTATTTTCACTATTTCACAAATGTCTTCTTCAGGTAGAATAGAATGTAGTTAGAATAAGAACAAATTTAAGTGGATATATCAATGAGTTTTAGATAGGAGTTCTTAACCAAAACACACACTTTCTTAACAACTTTTGAACAAAAACAGGGCATGTCTATGGGCTCGCACCTTTCTGCTGTATTGGCCAAATTAATTATGAGGAACATATAATTTAAAGTTTTCTCCTCCCCTCATAACATACGTTATCCAAGTTTCTACCTTAGGTACTTTGACAATATCTTAATAAATTAGGATGGAACATCTGACAAGCCATCACGTTTCATACAGCTCTTGTCTTCTGTATATTCCTCTATATCATTCACTGTAGAGGAAGAAGAAAATAATAAAATTGCTTTTTTTGATCTATCCATTCAGAAAACCATTAAAGGTCTATGCTATACAGTACATCATAAGTTTGGTTTACCTCTACATATCATTTCTGCTACATCCTTCTGGCCACCTAGTTATATAAATGCAGCTATGTCTGCCCTTATATGCAGAGCATATCTATATCCTTCATCTTAGTTCTTAGTACATAAAGAACTACAAATAGTAACTGCAGGATAATCTCATGCCAAGTTTTTGTATATCAGCACCTCAGTCTATAGATTCCTCTTCCCATTTACAACTTTATACATCAAAAATAAAAAAGTTTAGTATTTGCACATCCTTCTATACCAGGGGTGGCCAACAGTTTTTGCCCCCGGGCCGAATTGGAAAGAAAACTTTTTCCACTGGCTGAACCAGAGGCTACCCTAGGAAGATTTTGAGGTGGTGCGAGATCTCATTGTGGTGTCACCATGTAGAGACTGAATTGTAGATAGAGATTACAGATACATTTTTCATATTATCATGCTTTATCAACATTCTACGCTGTACTTAAGAGATTTGTAATGGAGAATTAACTCTAAATGCGCAGTGAGTTGTTGATTTTTTTTTTAGACATCAGAATTTTCATTCAGCTATTTGGACTTCATTACCTAATATTGAAATATTGATCACAGGCCACATAAATTCATTAGACGGGCCAGATCCGGCCCGAGGAGTGTATATTGGCCATTCCTGTTCTATACCATATTTAGGTTGGTCACATTATAAATTGTTCTTTTAGTTTCAAAAAGCACAGGATTATTCTTTCCATCAAACCACAGTTGTCTCTGTATAGAATTATCTGTAATGACAGTGATAAGTTTTCTGATCTAGAAAAATCAGGTGTTTAAATGATCCCCCTGCAACATTCAAGCACTGATTCAAAAGTTTTTTTATATAGTGGCCACAACTAGAAACCTATTAAACCATTTTAAGGAACCCCAAGATGGTAAATAGGACTCTCCACTGACTTCTTCAAGAATGTATTGGAACATAATTTTATACCATTATAGTCTGAATGTCCCTACTCAAATAATGTACAGATCATAGAGTTATTTTTCTTTGGGCATATTTATATATAGCAACATTAAGCTCATGTAATAAGTCTAAGCTTGAACTCCCTGAATTGTGGGTGTCACTTTAAAATCATAAATTTAAAATATAATACAATATATGATCATTATAGTAATCACATACAAATTAAAGCCAATTTTTTAACATTAAAGAAAACATAAAAATGCTATATATATATATAATTAAACATTATTTATTTATTCACATTGCTTTTACTTGTATTTGATCTAAAAAATTTGTAAATTTGTATATATTTACCATGCCATAGTAAAGATGACTATAGGCCATGGGCATAGGAATTGTCCCCTCTTTGTGCCATGAGTAAATGTGGATGGTTATATCTAAAATTAAATATGTCTGGAAGAGAAGAGTTAGTATAACTGTATAACTATATTGCCAGATAGTATAACTGGCAATGCATTCACACAGTTAGTGGGAGTTGTGGATTCAAGTGTTACTCATGGTCAATTTATTTCATTTCTTCCAGAATATTTTAACTTATTTCATAAATATTAATTTAATTATAATTATAAAATTATTTAATAAGAATGGTGCCTAATGCCTACCTCTAGTACCAAATTACTAACCAAATATCTTACTTAGCTCCTTAAATAATAAATCATCAAACACCTGATGCTGAGAAAAACCGTTTATTAAAGAAACATTAACATTTTTGACCTAATATGATAGACCATCTTCAGATGCAAGTATTCTCAAACGTATTTAACTTAATATTTAAACGTCAGAACGTTCAAATACTTTTACGTTTAAATCAAAATACTGGATAAAATAACAAATAAATTACAAAATAAAACAAATATAGTAAATGAACTAATACAATAACAATGTAAATAATGTACTAAAATAAAAAATAACATATATAAAATATAAATAAAATAAAATAAATACACAAAAAATGCCATTAAGTATAAGGGCAGGTGCGAGCTAAGAATCTTTGCGTTTTCGTTTTTCTTTTATGTAGAACTTCCATGTGGAAGCTAGACCCTCTACATCCCTGGCATTAATACAACCATCTTTTTAATTTACTTTTATATATTTTGAGTTTTTCTTCATGCATTGCCAATGATGGAGAATGCATAGTCCTGAGGATAGTTGCTTCATTCCATTTAACCACAGAGTCCTCTGCTTGTGCCATACAGGATAATACTGTGTTGCAGTGTCCTTTGTTAATATCGTATTTGTGCTCCTTAAGTCTGGTAGCCAAATTCTTTCTTGTAACCCCAATATAGTCTTGTGGTGTGACGGGTTAACGAAAAACCGTATTATACAAGAATACACCACATGTTAACACAAATTTCAACAAAAGATGGAGGAAATTATTTATTTACAGTTTATCACCAAATTAATTTTAATACATGAACTCGAACCTGTACATGATAGTAAACCGTTCCTCTTTTTCTCTCACGTGGACAAAGCTTATATATCTGGTTACACGTGTGGATCCCGAAGCCGACCAGTGCACAATCCGTTGTGACTGTATTATACTAATACTTATGACTAACTTAATTTAACTTATAAACTAATATAATCTAGGTAGAAAAAAAAAAGTATAGAAATGTTAGGTTAGAAAGAAATCCCCCTTATCTGTACGAAAAATTGGGCAATCTTCCGACGTACACTCCCTGACTGCATAGATTCGCTCCCTCGTCTTCCTCATGTGATTATCCCCTTGCTTTCTTCTCCCAGAATGAACAAGAAAGTCCCTTCTTCCTACGCTGCCTTGTTGGTTGTTGTCCCCTTTTCAGCCCAAAACTATTCAGAAAGTTCATATAGGTCAGAAGAGTCCAAAGAGGAAAAATAGTGCGGGTTATGTAAGTATAAGAGGAAAATATAGATGACATAGGATATTATCGACTAACACATACTTATACATGGTGGGATACACCACAGTCTTTCTTAATTCCTAATTCCTGATTTTCAAATGGAATTTTATATACGCCTGCTTTTTCTTCTTATTTAATCATGTCTTTATCATTTTTTAAAATACCATATATATTAGGCACTCTTTTGAAAATCATTTTTGAGCGTTTTCTGTCAGATACTTGTTTCATGATGTTCTTGATGTTTCGATTATATGTGAACTTGGAGATTTTAAACTGATTAACAGTTTAAAATCTCCATACTGTATAAACTGATATACAGTATTTTAAGAAATTATAAAGACATGATTAAAAAAGAAGAAAAAGCAAGAATATATAAAATTTCGTTTGAAAATCAGGAATTAAGAAAGACTATATTGGGGTTACAAGAAAGAATTTGGCTACCAGACTTAAGGAGCACAAATACGATATTAACAAAGGACACTGCAACACAGTATTATCCTGTATGGCACAAGCAGAGGACTCTGTGGTTAAATGGAATGAAGCAACTATCCTCAGGACTATGCATTCTCCATCATTGGCAATGCATGAAGAAAAACTCAAAATGTATAAAAGTAAATTAAAAGATGGTTGTATTAATGCCAGGTATGTAGAGGATCTAGCTTCCACATGGAAGTTCTACATAAAAGAAAAACGAAAACGCAAAGATTCTTAGCTCGCACCTGCCCTTATACTTAATGGCATTTTTTGTGTATTTATTTTATTTTATTTATATTTTATATATGTTATTTTTTATTTTAGTACATTATTTACATTGTTATTGTATTAGTTCATTTACTATATTTGTTTTATTTTGTAATTTATTTGTTATTTTATCCAGTATTTTGATTTAAACGTAAAAGTATTTGAACGTTCTGACGTTTAAATATTAAGTTAAATACGTTTGAGAATACTTGCATCTGAAGATGGTCTATCATATTAGGTCATAAATGTTAATGTTTCTTTAATAAACGGTTTTTCTCAGCATCAGGTGTTTGATGATTTAGTACCAAATTACAGTGGTGTTTCGTATCACAGACGCTGCAAACAACAGACTTTCTGTTTGGCCGTTACGTGACTCGAGCAACAGACTGGCTGCGAACGTGAGGTAACAATGGACTTTCTGCAAACAAGTGCGAATGATGATTCCACTCTTTTGCTGTTGCCAATGACAATCTGCTATTTTTATAATATATTAGTATTATTAGAATATATTATTAGTATATCTGAAGTACAGAGCTCCCATTGGGATTCGGCTTGCTCTCTTGTTTATTACGTACATCATCTCAGTGCAGGATATTTACATTTATTCAAGTGTTGTGCAAATCATGGCTTGTAAAAAAACAGAAAGGCGATTTCAATTGAAACAAAGCAAGAAATCATCAGAAGGAGTGAAAGTTGACAAAAACTTCCTTGCCAACTGGGGAGAGGTTCAGGAGTTTACCAACAATTATTATCCAAACAGAGCTGAGGCCAACAAAATCAATGATCTCTACAATGACATTCTTGCACGTCATTTCCAACATGTATTGAAGAAGAGAGAGAAACAGACCACCTTGAACATGTTTTTATAGAAGTCAGCTACCAAAAAACAAAGGATGGAACAAGAGGAGTTCACTCTGCAAGCTGCGGTAGTCTTTCCTGAATCTGACTTCGATTAAAAAACAATAAAAAGAGACCTGCTGCAATGTGTAAAAAGTCTGTATATGTCTGAATGTGTGAAGAAAGTGTTCCTCCACCTCCTCCTCACAACATCTACCTGGAATAATTGGTGAATGCTCCATTTTCATTTTGTTTTATGGTACGGTACGGTTATTTTATGCTGCGGAACGAATTATATGTTTTAACATGTATTTCTATGGAAAAATGTGTTTCTTATAACAGACTTTTCACTTAACGGACGTGCACCTGGAACAGATTAAGTACATTATACGAGGCACCACTGTACTTAGAATTTAATTATTAATAGTAGCAGTAAGTGTCCCAATTCATTTCAGCAATTGTTTGGCTTAGATTCGTAGATTTGTTTAAAAATCATTAAGAACTATTTAAAACTTACTGGTGTATTCACTTATATTTTGTTTTTATTTTAAATAAGTTCTATTTTATCTGAAGACAACATTTGTGAAATGATGAAAGTATTTGCATGCCTATTCTTATTTGAATTGAACTAAACTAATGCTGAAAACAATGCATATTTATTAATTGTACAAGTTTGGCATTAAGTATGTTCATCACTTTTATTAAACATTGTAAATTAAGTTATTTACTTTTGTCTGAGGTAGTTTATTGTTCATTGTTTAACAGCAAGAAAAACTGTTAACTGTGATTCTTGTTACTTTCTTAAATTAAAAAAAAGCATTTATATGTAAAATAAATGTACATTAATAATAAATACATCATGCATAATCAAATATAAACTCATACTAAATTAAAGGAGTCACTTACATTAAACTGCTATCTTTTCTGGAGTATTTATGTTAAAATAGGTGTTAAATTATTAGATTTTTCTTGGAATGATTTTTATTGAATATTTCAAGTAAGTAATAATTAGGTAGTATTTTATTTAAAAGAATTTTAATATAACAATTTTTTTAAATACTCGGTACAACTGAGATGATTGTATATTGAATTGTAAATTGAAAATTGTATCTTTCTTTTTATATTATAGTTTAACAATAATCAATTTTTTACATGAACATTTAATAATAAAATAATGTAAATAATTTAGTACTGTTTTTCTAAATTAATATTTAATATTACATTGTAGGACTATGAGATAATGGATTTATATCAACCTAATCGATGTTGTCCAGAATTGATTTATGTAAATTGTAAGGATGAAAATGGCAACATATATAAGGCAAGTGCATTAATAATAATTTTACAGTAATACCCTGAACTTACGTGATAGGTGGGACCGAGCAATAACCGTGTAAGTCGAATTCACATAAGTCGGGGTATAATTCCGCAATTTGTGCAAAATCCAAGTCGGATGTATGTAAGCTAATAAATGTTCTCGTTAATCTTATTTCATCTTTTGATTCGTTTACGGTTACAAGAAATCACCACATAGAGTCTGAAGTCTCCATAGATATAACAAACACAGAAATAAATAGCGCAAAATAAATTGTAGCTATGCATCGATTCCATGCGACACGTCCAAACATGTAAGCCGAACAATAGTGTGGGGGGAGTGAGTAATCAAGAGTTGCGTGGCGCTCAAACAAAAGACAAATCGACAAGATTTGAAAATTGCATAACTCCAGGTTCGCGTAAGTCGAGGTATTATTGTACACTTCTTTCTAATTATCAAAATAACTGTCTATCTATAATCCAGAATTATTCTTCTTTAACTAAACATATTTTTTCAATATATTCACCTAAATTGTAAATTGTTTTGTGTGTATTCTGTTCTAAAATTTAGTTAAATTAAACTTTATTTAATTTCTCAGCAAATGTCAACACATTTAATTATAATGTTAATTTTTTACATTATTAAGTTAAGAACAAAATTTATTTTGAATTGTTACGTATGATAGATAATTTTATTTCTGTGTTTAGCATATTACTAACATTTATCATACCAGTATATTAAATACTTAATATAGAAAATAGACATTTATTTTTTTTATAAAAAAAAGTATAAAATATGAACTTTTCTGGTTGCAATAGATTGGAGATCAATGGCAAAACAAGAGTGATCCCTGCCAAATATTTGAATGTGCAGTTTCTCCTAGTGGTCAAGCTTTGAAGATTGTAAAGAAAGAAGAATGCAGCTGTGAGAAGGTATTAAAATGTTAATATTTAAAGTTATTAAATTAAAATATTAGTTTTATTTCAAGATTACAGCTAGAAATGCTATTTAGTAATAAAATCCACACATTACATAAATCCAGAAAGCAGAATTTGTATAACAAACATTTTCAGTTTATTTTATAAACCTGTTTCAGGTTTGAAGCAGGTTTATAAAATAAACCAAATACATTAAAATATTCGAATAACATAAAATATTAATTACAAGTTACTAAAAGGTCTAATCCATTCTATAATTGAGCCATTCACAGGCCAAATCGATTAACTCCATTTGTAAATCCTTGATATAAATTGATTTGGCCTGTGAATGGCTCAATTATATAATAGAATGGATTAGACATTTTAGTAACTTGTAATTAATATTTATAATCCTTGATAACAATCGTTATTATTATTACATTTTTTGCATAACTAATTTTATATATCATTACATTAATACTATACTTTAATATAATGGTATGTAAGAATAAATTCTACAATGTTTATTTAAATTTAAAGTTTTTAAAAAGAATTTTTTTAAATAATTTATATTTTCAATTTTCCTACTTTTTGTTTTTTTGGAGTTAATTGATTTGGCAAGTGAGTGGCTTTATTAATAGTACTTAGTACAGTAGAGCCTTGAAAACTCGGCACTCGATAACCCAGCAGTCCAGATAACTCGGCCACACCCTGGCAGGGCAAAAAAATCCTTAGTTAATTAATTTTCATGATAAAGACAGCTTTATGCCTTGTAAAGTATTTTTCTGAGGTCTGTCTTATCAGGTAAATTACTGTACAGTGTATTCATTAATTTTCATTTTCATGTAGTAAAGGTTCTATGCCTTCATAAAAGACATACTTTTCCTTTGTTTAAGGGTATTTGGGCAGTTTATTCTCTATTGTATTCTCAAGTAAACAATACATACAAGTACAGTACAGTATTTTCTGAGGAAACACTCATACTTATTTTTTTAACCCCATTCCCGATAACCCGGCATTTTCACAAACTCGGCCACTCTTCGGTCCACATTAGGCCGAGTTTTCGAGGCTCTACTGTAACTGAATTCTGAATATTTAACTAATATGTTTTCAGTAAATTTAAATTGTTCTGCAAAGATAAAATAGCTATTTTTACTTTTCCAGCTCTGTTATATATAACAAAGGGAAAGTAAGGCAAATGGTAAAATATGACCGCCCCCATATTTTTACATTTTTGGATTTAGGATCTTGAAACATTGAGAAATGCAAAAGAAATTTGAAGTTTTCTGTATGCATGGATGTTTCTGTTTGTGTGTGTGGGGATCATGAATTTGTTCACCCTATTTTAAGCTTAATAACTTCTGTGCTTTTTGTCAAAAATTTCTGAAATTTTACAGAGAAGTTTATTAGGGAGATTTATGCTACTAAAATTTGGTGAATAAAGGTTGAGGGGTGGGGAGATAAAGGGGGTTATGTGTATATTTAGTAGGGTCAGACGTAATAACATTTTAACTCATTATTAGCATTTACAGTTTTTATAAAACCCATCTCTACCCTCAAAATTAAGCTTTTTGCCATTTTATAATAAATTATCATAACAGATGACACCACCAAATGTTGCCGGGAAAGTTATGCAACTCGTTGCTGAAGTTTTTTAAAATTATCAACCATTTTCATTGCCAATATTCAGAAGTTCACAAATTCTATATAAATGTTATTTCACATATAAAGTAAGAAAAGATTGTATTGTGAGATTTGTAATATTATTGCATAGATACTGACAAGAGAGAGTTTTCTCATGTCAGTCTTACATTTTAATAAAATATATATTATTCGATAGGAGGAAAAAATAAGAAAACTCACATTTTTTCTTTTATCTGGCAGGTTTGTGAGAATAGGGTTCTAAAAAGTTCTAATATAATTCACATAGAAATATGAGTGTTGTTAACTGGATAAAAAAACTGCCTATCCAGAGTTATTGGTGACAAAATAATTCTCTTATAATGTTCATAGACAAAAGAATTATGCATTATATACTGAAAATTTGCCTGAAGGAGAGAGATCATGTATTTTTATTATCCTACCAAAGGCAACAATGTATGTATGGTCTCTAAATGCTTTCTATTTCTTTAGGCAATTCAAGGTTATAACAAGGTGAAAACAGGAAATAATCAGAGTGAAGTTCATGATGTAATCATTTTTAAATTAAATAACAAAAACTTTATTTTCTAAATCACTTATCATTTACATATAACCAGTTATGTGCTCTATTTTTAAACACATGTAATGTTCTCTTTGCCATGCATATATTAACAACTTTTTCTAATTTTATCAATATAAATTTTACATTTCCTGAAACAAAGTGCTCATTAGAAGATTGTGATAGAAATGCCTTCATTTCATGTGCTCATTGTAAACAGTTAATTTGCCTTAAACATTTTATTTTTCTTTTACATTTACATTAAACCATAAAAAGTAGAATCAATACATCGCAAAACAGGAATAAATCCCTCAACAAGCTTACAAGCTCAACAATGGTACCACTGTGTCAATAGCACTATATTTCTATAAGAATTACTGTACATTAGAACATTTTAGAATTCTATTTCTTGCAAATGACTGACTGATCTAACAGATAAAAGAAGAAATATGGGTTGTCTTATTTTTTTCTATCGAATGATCTATATTTTATTAAAATGTAAGACTGACATAAGAAAAACCTTCCTTGAAAGTACACATACATAAATAACAGACTCAATTTGCAAAAACATAAAAAATCTTTAATAAAAAAAAATCCAACAATACACCTTTATCCCTGGACCCCATATAAACTCTCAATTGCCCTGATTCAAATTATAACCCACTAGACCGATCATACTCATTCTACATTACATTTCCAAAGCAACTATCATCAGTTGTCTGACTGGTCAGTCAACTTCATGCATATGACCTCAAAAATCCTTAATATTCCACTGACCACAACCTTTTTGTCCTTTTCTTTTCTCAAGTGTTATGGTTCTAGTTGCCATCTCCCAACCATGCTAAAACAGTTCTGATCATAGAATGGATTAGATTCAACACACCAAAATATTATCCAATTAAAGAATGACCATTGTCTATCGGCATTAAACAGTTTTTATTATAACATTATTGTAAGCACTTTCAACATTTTATCAATGTTGAAAGTGCTTACAGTAAATTGCATCTTCAGGCAAAGAAAACAATGTTCTCATCTTCAGAAGGAGAAACTAATCCATATTGAGTCCAACACAAAATGATATAAAGTGATGAAATAGCAATAGAAAAGAAAAATAAAAGAAAACTATAAACTAAATATATCTATATACGAACATAAAGACACAACATTACATTATTTTTTCTTGTCTTTAAGAAATAATGGTGTATATATTAAACTGCTATTTTTAATATTCTGTTTAATTGATCACTATGTCATAATCTGCCAAGTTTATTTTTGAATTTAAAATGATTTTTGGTATTATTTTAATTATACCATCATTCTGTTTTTATTACAAATAAAAGATAAATTTTAACATCTTTTATTCAAATTTATAAATTAGCCTCAAGAAATCATCATATTATTTTATTTATAATTCTCTGTTGATTAGAATGAAACCTGTTAGAAATGAATGAGAATAATGTATAAATACATCTGAAAAAATGTAAGTTGAGTAGCCTCAAAATTATCTGATATACTCATAATAAAACTGCATTGTCTTTGCTGACTCAATGATAAAAAATGCTTGAGTAAAAGCTGATTTCTCAAAGAAAAACAATTGTAAAGTCAAATAAAAGTCTAAGTACATTACCAGAAATATCCAAAATCTCAAAATCAAATAGTTTATGTACAGCAAGATGTCAAAGTTTTGATCCTCATTCCTGCACAACATTATTATACAATCTATATAAATCAGTTATTTGTATCCAAATAATTGATTTCAATCACCATTTGCCTATTTTTGAGAATACCTATTATTTTGTTTCCCATTATTTTAAAATTATATATTTTATCTTACTATGAATTATTTTTTAATTTATAGGTCAAATAAATGTAAATAATATATAAAACTAATATTGTGTACAAAGAATCATTTTAATTTATAGAAATGCAAAGAAAGTTATGAAATTCCAAGTTGGACTGTCAAAGATGGTCAGAAATGCACCTCCAGAATCTTTATTATTATTGAAATAAAATTTTCTATATTTATTTTAACTATATATGCAAAAATTTGGTTATAAACATTGAAATGTAAGAAGTTGCATAAATTTATATTTTTCCTAATATCATAAAAATAAATTATATTTTTTTTATTAATTAAACATAGGGAGAAGAACAACAGTTACCATCAGTAAATGAATGTTGTGGGAAATGCATAAAAACTCATTGTTTTCACTTCGATACTTTATATTCATTGAATGAAACATGGAGTAATCCAGTTGACAGATGCCAAAAGTATGAGTGCAAATTAGTAGATAATGAATTAACTATAGTAAAACAAACATGCCTGCCCATTCGAGAAGACTGTCCAGAGGTGAGGAAAAAAGTATACTTTTTAATTTTGAAAGAAACTATACAGAGCTGTTTCTTTCGAAAATTTACCTGTACCAATAAAAGATAATCATATATTGTAGTTAATTCATAAATTGCTCAACCAATTTATGAATTAAACTAAATCATTTGATAGTTAAGAAGTAGTTATACTTTTCAGAATATAGTATTTATCACATTATAATTATAAATATTAGACTATATAAAATTATTATGAATTTCTTTCTTAAATAATCTAAGTTTAACACTTTCTAACTTTCCTAAAAATTAATTTATGAGATTTTGGGCTTTTAAAAACAACTAAAATAGAAAGCACAAAATATACAAATAAATAATTTAGAACATATACATATTTTTTTTCTGAAACAATAATTTTCCTTCACAGACTAAACATTCAGTCAGAAATTTGTAATTTGTAAAAGAACTGTATGAATTATCAAAGATAACAGTTGAGTTTTAGAGAAATTAAGCATATAAAAATTATTATTTTTATTTTCATAATCTTTCTTTTATATTTTATATATAATACTGGTAGTAATTTTATACATTTATTGCAAGCTATTTATGATTTATTCTTGTTACTGAGAGTGTGTAAAGGACAATACAATACCGTACATTGCTGGATATTTAGATTACCTTACTCAGACATTAGTCAACCATTATAGGCATATATTATCAAGAATAACAAAAGATTTAATTTCCAACTACATAAATCTGTTTCAACTACATAATCTGCAAAATTTTTAGAGATCACACAGTATGAGACATTGGATGACATTTGACTCTGAATTATTAGACCAAATGTATATATGTCCAAAATATTGCAAAATACATTTAGAAAACTATATGTCTTCAAACTACTTTATATCTGTGAGTGAGTGTATTGCAAACCTAATAACTATATAAAATACTTACAGATGCATTTATTTTTTATTTCATTTTAGAAACAATAAAAGTTCCAAAGATCACATTGCATATGGAATCATATGGCTATCTTGCAGACAAGGTCTGACGATGGTAGCAATATAGGTGTAACCTGAAAAATTATTAACAGGATACCATTCAGAAATGACAATAAAACTATTTGTAGAACTTCATCAATGTGTTATTAGATTTTTTTCAGTTCTGTTATGTGTATCAAGATATATTTTATTACTAATGTGTTTTGATAGAAGGACAGAAGTTGTGCATAACTCTACTGTTATGGGAGAGCAGCCTGATATTTGCAGATGATGTCTGCTCTTTGCCTACATCACTCCAGATATATATTGATCATTAGTATCAAGGAATAATCTGGACTCATTGCTGAATACAAGATGTTGCTATTTGTGTTGTCAGACACTTTCTTCTGGCACCACTTCAGCCAAGCTTGACAATGATTTTAGTCCATAATAACCATTATAACAAGCACCAAAAGTACAAGCCTGCTCTGAAGTTTCCTAATTATTGTCCAAGTCATACAGAAATGTCATATAATAGTAGCTACAGTTTATCAATGCTTATTGCAATTGATAGTGACCCCATAACTGCCTGACAATGAATATATTGATTTAGTCTATATAGGCATCTACCTAACTAGATCAGTCCTCTATGATTACTGTGTGTGTATTTTTATAACTACTGTTACCAAGATTGTTTCATTATTCTGCATATCACATCTCAAATGGGATATGATATATAATGTCAAACATCCAGCTTTACAAGTCCTATTATCTTGCACTCTAAACTATGAGTATATTCATTGCTGATAGGGATGACAAGCTCTGTGAATCATATTTGATCATTCAGAAAACTAAACAAATCCTTCATACATTATTGTACTTTTCTGTAATATCTGCAACAGTTGAAAAAATACTTGTATTTTTCCTTTTAAATCTAATACACATTATGTGATTTTTCTGCTTAATCATAAGGTTTGCATAATTTCTGGACACATACACATATGAGTACTGTACATGCTGATATGATAACTCTCTCTAGGTGGGGTAATTTCAGTATCAAGCAACATAGTTATAGATTTGGCAAAATTTAATGCTAAATATAATGCAGCAAAAGAACAAGAAAATTGCTTGATTTAATTCAGATTAATTAGTTTATATTCTGGGTTATCAGTATTGAATCATTTAAAAAGAACAATTACATTTCCTGCAGGAATCATGCAAACCAACACACATACACACATACATACACATCCATGGAATTTTTTCGTTTTACTTTCCTGGCTGTTATTTATACATAACAAGGAAACATATTGAAATCATGCCAGATATGACCCTTCCTGTTTTTTTTTTTTTTTCTTTTTGCAAATGTCATTTTGAGACTGTCTAAAAATCCAAAAGTCAAAATAATGAATTTCGTTTAATATAACAGGATTAAGAAGCGAAAATTGGCATGGTAGCTTGTATAAAAGGGTATTGATGCTATTAAATTTTGGTGGTTAAAGGTCGAGGGGTGGGAAGATATAGTTTCACATATCATATTTCAAGAGGGGTTGGAAAATTTTACTCGTTAATATCATTTACAATTTTTTATAAAACGTATATGAACTTTCAAAATTAAGCATTTTGCCATTTTGTAATAATTAATAATATAAAAATATATATGATAAAATCTCGTAGCAGGTAGTGCCACACATAATTTATTTATTAATAGTGTGATCAATAATACAGTATAAAAGTTTAATTTTTTAAATAAAATCTCTTGATAGTGGGAATGTTAGGCAACTTATTGTTAGATTTTTGTGTGTGTGTGAACAAAACAAAACATCACACTTTTAAGTTATAGATGCCTTTTAGAATTATTTTAATTGTATTTATCAAAATTCACTTTATGGTGATGAAAAGAGCAATAATTTATAGCGTACTTGCATTGTAATTATCATGTCACATGTTTTAATTGTTAAGGAGACTGACTGTCATAAAAAATGATTGGAAAGTTTATTTTTGTTAGATGGACTTCAAATATCATAATAATAATAGTATGATTGTAGTAAATCTTAAACTCAAAAAGGATTTTTAATTTGGATAGTATTTGTTGTATATTTTGAATATACTACATGTTTAAAATTTGAAGAACTATCTGAAGTCCAGATGAATTACAGTTGATGTGACAACATATGTGGTATGGTTCTAGAATGATTATCCTACAAATTGTATAATAATTTGTTTTTCTGTGTAGATATAACAGTATTTGCCATTAATGTCATTGTTGTTGATTTTATTACAGAAGTTGTGCATAACTCTACTGTTACATAGGGTTGCCAATTTTCTTGTATGAAAAAGAGGACATTTATAACAAAGTGGCTTGTTATAAATATTTGTTGATTAATTAAAGTATGAAACATTAAATAAATAATAAATTGAATTGTTATGTTAGAACTCAATGTTAGAATCACAGGCATCCACAGAAAATTTTCTAAGGGGTAAAAAGTTTGGAGACAAATAATTACATCAATAAATTTTTTTAATTATGTTGTTATTTAATTTTAGTTGTAGTTAATTTTTAGGGTTTTTCACAAGTACATACGTTATAGAATACAGTATTTCATCATCGCTTCGTCATCGAGGATTGTAAGGTTATCTATATCAGTAATTTTTACGATTATAGGCTAATTTATGGAATTTACTCAATCCCAGGGAAGGGTAAGTGTTCCGTTTGTCCTGCTCTGGGGACGCTCATGATTCAAATTATTAACTGCTTCACGCCACCATCCTAACTGAGTCTAAATTTTATTTGCTTGTCATACATTGATGGCAGTGTTTGTTCTCTTTTTGTTACTCTAGTGAGCAATAAAGACGAACTATTATTTTAGAATAAGAAAATAAAATATTACAACGACATCTGTCAGAAGTGTTTCAGAGCTAATAATAAAAATATTAAACAGAAACAGACAATTAAAATTGTACTGCAAAGAAAGATGAGAGAACAAAACACTTCAATGGAGAACGGTTGGCAACATAAGCTTTAAAGTGAATTAACATAGTTTTTATTCATTGTATATAGGTTAATGTGCGCTAAAATCGACAGTAGGTTTCTAAACAAGTTTTCCAAAAGGCATTACATAGAAAAAAATAACCGGAAATTTGTCGGTTTTTTCAGATATAAATTTAATTACGATAATCACAGGATTTTACGTATAAGTGAATTCTTCTATTGAGAATTCAACATCATCATCATCATCACCATCATCTAATGCTTTTAAATAGCTTTTATAAAACTATTACAGAATATTAAGACTTAGAGTACTTAGATTAATTAATTGCAACTGGAAAACTGTTTTTATACAACTTAATTTTGCCTTTTTCTTTCAGGAAAATTTGATATTGGATAAAGATAATTGTTGTACAATATGTAATGCAACTTTTGGTAAGTTTAAAAAATATACAAGTGTGTGTGAGTATATATAAATTCAATATATATATATATATATTGAATTTATTTACGTAGTTTCAAATAAATAGAAATGTTTACTTTTAGGTGTAATAGGGTGCAACACGTTGCCAAAAGTAATTGAAGTAGGAGAATTGAAAAAGAACGATTCCAATCACGGATTATGCGTAAATCCAAAAAGGTTATCCGATGTATTAGAATGCGGGGGTACCTGCGAATCACATTCAATGTATTCATTAGGTAAGACTATTTCTTTTAATTTTTTTATGTCGAATTATTTTTCAAATCGAACATATTTATATACCATATCATACCTGCTGGAAACTGGTATCTAAAATAATCTAAATAACTGCTTATATTTATAATTTTACAAAATATATATAAAAATGGCGTTTAAAAATATGAAAAATAATTTAATGTGGTTTTTATTAGGCATTTTTTCATAATTGATACGAAGTTTTATAAATTGAGAGATTTGCTTTTGATTATTTTAAAACTTGTTAATTCTTCCCTTTTTTTTTTTTTTTTAT